TATATATATAGTACTATAGTATTACATACTAGTAGTAAAAGAAAAATACATTATAAAAAGAGAAGGTTGCCAAGAATTATTTCTGAAGAAAGGTGTTTGACAGTTGACAGATTATAACTCTTCCTAGACTTGACTATGACTTGAATCAAGAATCCTTTAACCCAAACTAAAAAATATATCAAGAACCTGCCAATGATCTTTGGAATGATAAATGCTGAATCAAAAAGTATGGTTTTTAACCTAACGCTTACATACTGTGAGAGAAAAAACATATTAAACTGTGTGCTAGATTCTAGTTTATGGGGGTCTTAGCTAGAATATAGGCAGCAATCTCTCCCTGGCTCAAATGACTTTACTTTGCATCATTAACTAAAAAGAGTTTGGCTTCAACAGCCATTTTTCCATAATGGTGATGAATATCAGTTACCATCTGCCAATCAATCACAATTGAAAAAGCCAAAATAAAAGAGAGAGAGAGAGAGAGAGAGAGGGAGATGATGTTAAAAGGTTATATCCATCAGCAGATGTCTCAGGCATCACATCTGATGGTCTAAATCTTTACTTTTTTTTCTTCATATCTCTATTCTTTCAAACGGTTGTAAACCTTAATCTTGATTGAAGTTTTCACTGAGTCTGATTAGGCAGTTTAACAAAGAACCAGACTTTGATTTTAGATATCCATGCATATCAAATTTGTTGTATTGAATATATGCTTTGCATGCATCTAGGTTACTAGCAGATTAAGAAATTTCAGAACCAGAGGGGTAATTTTGTCCTTAAACTCACCACCAATCATCACATTTCTGGTAACCTGTGTAGATGAATACAAACAAAACCTTAAACCCCATATAAAACCTGACTCCCCCCCACTCCCCCCTTCATCCACCTCATTCCCTCTCTGTTTCTTTTTTGTTTCGATTGTTTTCACTCTCTGCAACTTCCATGGCAGACCCCTCGATGTACAACTTCTTCAACCAGCCTTCTTCAGCTCCAAAACCCACCAAGAAACAGCCCCAAAGAGCTTCACCATCTGCTCCTACGAGGCTTTTCCAATGCCTTTACTGTCCAAGAAAGTTCTACACTTCTCAAGCTCTTGGAGGTCACCAAAATGCTCACAAGCGTGAACGAGCAGCAGCTCGAAGAAAGTTCCCCGTTGATCAGCCCCAGCAGTTCAACCTCCACCCACAGAACCCTTATACCCGCTTCCCTGCTGAGCCCCCTATGGACCACCCTGGTGCACCATATCTTGACCAGTGGCTCGAGCCCTTTCCATTCCCACCATCCCTCTGGTGGGTTGGTCCCTCAGGGTTTTCTGGTGCTTCTTCACCTGAGACTTTCTCTCCATCCACTGATGTTGATGACTCTGCAAATGTTGACCTCACTCTCCGTTTATAAACCTACTTTCCTTGCCCTTTTATCTCTTCATTTCATTGTTATTTAACTTTTTTTTTCTTTTTGAAAAGTAACAATGTAGCTTTGGTGGGTTCTTCATGATCCTCCGAGTAAGCTTACCTGAGAGTTAAAGAAAAAAGAAGAGGGTTTTGATGGTGGATGGTTACTTTAAAAAGTCTCAGCTCTGGGGGGGTTTGAGTTCAAAGTTTGTTTAGGATTTCTTATTTTCTGAATGGATATTCTGTTATGTTTTCTTGAGTTAAAAGTTCTGATGTTGATGTTCTTAGTCCCTCTGTTGATAGTAACTTGCATGATGATGATGGTTAATTAATGCATGCTTTTCATTTTTTTTTCTCTCACTTCCTCCTGTATATATTTTAATCTGAAATGGTAATCTGAGAACTTCCATTTCATGTTTGTAGTTCATCTGCTCCAGGGTTCAAGAGTTAGGATATCCAAGATCCAACTCCTTGCCATTTCCATTTTAATTCATTGCTAGGGCAGAAAATGCTGCTCCTAGCTACATATATATATATATATATATATATTTGGTTTATTGATCTTGAAAATTGGTTTAAAAAAGGGGTCTTAACTTACTTGACCTCTGTACTGATCAGACTGCTATCCCTCCTAACTTGAGCAGAAATTTTTCATTTTTGTTTTTTCCTTTCCTTTTGGACTGACATTTTTTGTCTCAATCATCATCATCACTGTTAGGTCACCATAATGGACAGTGGTGATGGAATGTGAAATGGATTAGTTTGATAGTTTTTCTATCACTATTGATTTAGATAAAAGCTTGCCAATTATTTAATGGGTGGATTGGTAGTTGCTAGTTTATGAGTGATTGAATAAGAACTGATCCAGAATCTCAAAGTTAAAGAGTCTGATGAAGTCTGCATCAACTTATTAAAAAAGAGTGTGGGGGAATACCCTAATCACTCAGAATGGAAATTTCCTAGCTTTTCTCCATTAGACCAAACTCTCAATGCATTCATCTCCTAAAAATGTCTCCTGAGTATACAGATAATGGTTGGGTTATTATTGCTTGCCAAACTTTTCAATCATGTATACCATCTATGGTTACTCAGACTTAGGAATATGAGTTACATGTGGATATATGTCGAACAATTGTATATCTCTTTACATTCAAAGTTTTGCTCATTAACTACTAATTGACTGAGATGATGGTGATTAATTACTCTATGCATGAGTCAGTGGAGGTGTGGAGGAAGTGTTAGTTCACAGATTTTCGCTCAAATCAACTCCTTGCTTTGTTTCTGACAGATAAATAGAAGAAACAAGGTGTATACTTCCAAGCAAAATCAATATTCTTACTGCATTCCAATAAGTTCATCAAAAACGACTGAAAAAGGGAAATAAATGTGATATTAACATAATAATATTCCAGCCAAAAGAGAACACATGTTGCTAATATGACCCATGGATTAAAACAATGGCTTTGTACCTCAAAGAAATTACAGTATGATTCCTTACATACACCATGCCATATTAGCTAGATTCTGAGAATGCTATCAAGTTGGTTTGACAGAATGTCTGCATTCCTTTATCCTTACTACCCCTATGCTCGTTCCATTGTTTGTGGTCGAGCATCAATCTTTGTTTTGTTCCTTCTTTCTTGGGACTTTCTAATCAAGATACAGAATTAATTCCTTGTTAAAGTCTGTATTTGCACTGCAAAACCTCAGTAAAAACTCTGCCTATGTTGTTTTGACATGTAATGATGCAGCCTTTCCTTGGGGGAAGGTCATTGAGCTTCTCTAAGGAGACAAATTTTCAAAGCTCAAAAGTTGGAACTTCAGCTGTGAAGCCATGTGTGGCCCTGTATAGCAACCGAGGCAATAAATTCCTATAGGGATCTTTTTCTCTTTTTTCCTTGAGGTAGGCCATGCATCTCTCAACCTCTGACTTTACATGTAAATACAATTCTTGAGATTTCTCTCTGTCTCTTAGCTCTTGTTTCCTTCCTTCAAAATAAACAGAATTACGTCAATCAAAGATCAGAGCTGAAAATCGGAATCCCAGTATGCATTTTACCACATCCAGCAAAGCCAATTTGGACTCATGTTCGGAAATACCAACTGTTTTAGAACTTTGGAATGCATTTTATCAGCACAAAAGCTTTCTTTTGAAACAAAGATTCATTCAGGGCATGGTTAACACAGGCCAGCATTATAGATTGTATATAATTCATTCGGAAATATCTATCGATTTATTACGTAATCAACAATAAATTGATAGATATTCAAGAATATAGATTGTACATGGACAGTACCTTCAGTTTCGATAGGTTTCCCGAAATAATAATAGAACCGGCCTGGTAATTTAGGAAGAACTCCGGGGAGGTGGACATCTTGGTTGGACACCTCACCATTTGCATCAGTCCTATCATCACGATATTGTAAGGACACCAAACAGAGATTAGTGATGCCAGGGGAAGGAATAGCTATTGTGGAAAAGTTAAATTGCAAGGTATGCTTTAGATAAATGGGAGAGGATTTAAAGGAATTCAGCAGGAGAAGAAAATCGTAGTACCTCAATTGCACAGATTCTTCTGTGAGTTCTTTTATGAACGACCTCAAGGAAGGAATGCGCATTTGGTCATTGTAATCAAAAACTAGCTGACAACAATAAATGTGCAATTCTCTATGAGAGAGAGAGAGAGAGAGATCAACTTAAACCTAGTGACATAGAACATCATACCAAAAAAAACAAGAGAACAAAGGAGAGGATGATGCACAATGCTTCACAGGATATGCAGTTCGACTCAAATATAAATTTCATTCTATATAATGCACAAACATCTAGAACCTTTTAGATTTGAGATGTTTAGAGCAGAGTCCTTGATTTATCTCAAGTCGCTGCTATCTTGTCATTTTTGCCAGGTTTAGAATGAGCTGGGGAATGCAGGTTTCATTAACTGAGTATCCAAGGAGAAAATTGGTAAAATAAAATCAGAATCCAGTGTTCCAAAAGATCAAATGTTTCCATATATATGCTCCAAAAGTAAGATGCTATGGTAGACACTAGCATTAGAAACTTGTGCAGAAGTTCACTATGAAACCTGCCAGGCTTACCTCACCAACATCATCTTCTCCAACCACGCCAAAGGGTACGATTTTGGCTCCAAATCTAGATGCCATCCTGACAAACTCAGACCGCTCTGGCCAGAATAACTTGTATTCTTCACCCTGAAAAAAATATGTATTGTTTAGTATCCTGGAGTATCTTAGCCCTTCAAACTTTTAAAAAGTGCACCTAGCATTGCTGGTTTGCAATAAACACAAAAAATGTCATGCTCATCAGCACGTTTTCTTTACTGTCCTAAGTGAATTAACTTATAAATTACAACTACATAGAGTAGAAGCAAGAAGATAAGAAATTGGTTGGAATTACATCATAAGAAGCAATAATTTTCCTTCATAAGTTAAGTGATCAAAATTAGACTGAGAAGACATATAGTGATATTTTATAGGATTTATATCGAGAGAGAGAGAGAGAAATGGAACTGTATCTGACCCCATTGTATCATCTACCTTTTAATCACAACAGCAGAATGGAACTTGAGTGGAGCAAATTAAAGCTAGTGTAAACTTACAATTTTTGTATTAGAAGTCTGAACTCCCATCAAGATGAACATTGAACAAATTTTCAGAAAGTAAAGGTCCTTGAGAAATTTAATAATTACCTTCCTGTGAAGAGCCTCACGCATACCTCCAGGATACAGTAGGACATGAGACTTTGAAGACAGAAGTTTGTAGAAGTTGGGTCCTGACACAGGAACTGCACCCATCAGTCTAAATGTGTCGAATGCAGCTAGGTCAAGCATGTTGCCTTCTCTCAATCTAAAAAACATCATTGGATGGGCTATCCCTCGCACAAGAATATTTCTCTCCATCAAAAACTGAATCACCATTGGAGCCAATTCAAATCCCAGTAACATGTGATAGCCAACATACAAGACTGGTCCCTCTGAGGGGATCCCAGCAAGGCCCCTCACCACCTTGCCATCCTCTAAAGTTGACAGCATCACAGGACTAGTGGCAGCAATTACCCATCTAGGAATAACAATATTGTGAGACGATATTATTATAAATTGACGTGCTTGTACAACTAACAAGATCTGCTATAATGAGGAAAGACCAATGTGGTCATGTATAGCTGCTGTCAAGTAAAGACATATAGATCAGCAAGGCTGACAAAAGGTAAACCCTTGCCAGCCATCAACGTTTAGATGCCTTGGACACCGAAAATGTCATTCTTCCGGAGCCTCCAGATACGTATGAGTTATTCCTGTTAATGCAATTTACACACAAGTTATCATATAGGATAATATTTACCTATTTGATTCACATATTTTCATGAATTCATAAGGTGTTGGTGGAATGTAATCAGACACATAGTCAAGGTATTTTCCACGACGATAGAACCTAGAACACTTGATGGTTGTTACCAAATCAACATCGTCTTCCTGCATCAAATGAGCAGAACTGTGATGAGTACCAGAAGAAGTTATTGAATGATATTTCAAGCAAAACTTGCGTACGGACTCAGCATTTCCATTCAAATGTATGCACCATCACACACAGATAAAAAAAGTGCACAATATGCTTGCTTACTTAAACATGCACAATCATATTAATTACTTAGATATCAGTTTTGCGTCGCCTCTTTCTGGCCTTAATTTTCTTCAAATTCATTTGCATAATGCTGATTATTTAAACATCATGTGAGAGAGATAGAGTCCTACTAAGAAGAGAAAATGGCCACTTTCTTCGAACAAACGTATCGCACTTTTTGGCAACATGCTGCGAAGTCTTTGGGCTTCCTCTTGACTAGGCAACAGCTGATCCTTTCCACTATTAAGAAAAACAGAAATATCACCCATCATCACCACAAGGACCCTAAACTTGGAAAGAATATATGCTAAACAATCAATGAAATATAATAACAATGGATTGCGCTGATGATTAAGAATGACCTGCAAAGTATCATTGCTTGAACTTTTACAGCATGGAGGTGTGAATTGGCAGATGCAGAAGCAGATTTAAGCAGCTGTAGCTTCCAGAGAAGTGTTTCTCTAGGTAACATATCAGCCAGAACCTGAGGCATCCCAAGAAGATCCTGTGATGATAACACTCCAACAGTTTGGAGCGGCAGAAGTCTCTTCACCACATTTTCCAATGCCATCCTCAAAGGATCACCTAAATTTATGCCATTGCTCAAATCCTACCAACGTTCTTAATTATCTATGATTATAAATAACAAGAATAGATCTACCAAGAGTGATGCTATAGTGTCACTGTTGTACATTTTTTTTCAACCACATACTGATAACATTCGGTTTTTTAGGCTACTAGACTAAACATAAACAGTTATATACCTCAGGTAACTAGCAAGGTCCACAAAATGGAAAGTTGAAGAACAGACTCCAAACCTGACACCAAGTTCAGCATGTAAGGGAGGTTCAGCAAGAGTTGATCAGGCATGAGTTCCAGTAAAGGTATTAGAGATTGTAACTGTGACCTATTGAATGATGTAGCTGCAAAAAGAAACATGATCAGAAAGCATAAACACTTTTAGTATTGCAGTGATTAGCATCACTCCTTACAAAAAGCCAATTTCCTTGGTTTGAATTGTACATCTTACCTATGTTAAACATGACAGCATTAGTCATTGCATACATTTTTTGTTTACTATTCCTCTATAAGATTACACTACCAACCAGTCCTTTTTATAGTCAATAGGATTATTACAACATAAGTTCACACCTGGATTAGCCAACATTAGCACAAGATCAATGTCAGGGTTACGAGCAGCGACATCTAAAGCAATGCATCCTCCAAGAGATTCCCCAACAAGATAAATTGGTCGGTCTGGTGATCGCTCGCACTCTGACCTTACTGTTCTTTCAACCAGCTTCACTAGGTCTAAGGAAGTAATTAAAACCAAAAAAAAAAAAAGCAAAGCAAAGAGAAGAGAAGAGAAGAAAAATGAAACTTAAAATTTTAATAACTCATAAAATTATAATAAATATGATCAAAATTTCATTTATTTAATCAGAAAAAAAAGGTTAAAAATAGACATTCAATTTGAAATATTTAAAAATCAAACTAATTATCAAAAAATGCTTAACAATGGATTCATGTGTTTCTTGAGAGAATCAAGTTGATAATAATAAGAAATTATCCTCCAAAAATATTAAATTTATTGTTTTCTGCTTTGAATGGCAGAATGGGCATACGTTACATTCCAGCTCTTGCTTTGAAAGATTTTGTCATTGAGTAATGATTACTTTGCTTTTGTACTTTTTTGATCAACCCAAAGGTCAAAAAGGACCATGTCATATGCTACTATTTCTTTTTTTTGTTAAGATTGCTGCCTATCCACGAGGATAGGATACACTTTATTATTATTATTATTATCATTATTATACTTTTAAAAAGAATAAACAAATCAAAATGAAAAAATTAAAATACTATTCTAAAAGTTAAAAACTAATAATTTCTTTTTTTTATTTTTCCTTTTCGAAATGTTTTAAAATTATTTTTTCCACACCCAATATTTTTATTTTTTTTAATATTACAAACTTACTTTTCATTACTTTTTTCATATTAAAAATATTAAATATTTATATTATAATTTCTTTAATTTTAATATAAAATATATTAAAAATCAAAATTTTTATCTTAATCTTCGTAAAAAAAAAACCTGACATAACAAATTATTATCAAATTTATGTCGGCATTTGGTTGTAGACTCCAAAAAATAAAGGAAAATAAAAAACAAAATGCTACGTAAGCCCAAAATTAAAAAAAAAAAAACTTAAAACTGAGGTGATAAAATGGAGATATATTTTACCTGCAAATGACGTTCTATCCTTAACTGGAATATGCAAACACCACATATCGAAAATCCTTCATTCAATTTTAACACCCAAAAAACAAATTCATTTAATAAATTAAAAAATATAAATTTTAAAATAAAATAAAACACATAAAAATCCAAAATCGTTATCTTAATTCTTGTAAAAATAAAAAATAATAATAAACATTCAGAGAGGAGAAAAAATAAAAGGAAAAATAATTTTCTCACTAACTTTCCGAGTTTATGATGATGCCTTATGAGTCCAAGCCCGGTGCCATCAATCCCTGCAATGTAAATTGTTTCACAAACTCAGTACTCAATTTTAGTTTCCTACTCAAAAATCATCCCAAAGGCTAGAGAGAAAGAGATGGTAAAAAGGTTCATGATTAAGCTTTTCCGTTAATGACAAAGTTATCATCATTTCTTTATCAATTCCCAGAAAAGTGAAAAAGTCGGATTTCATTTTCAAACACCTCCGGGAAAATGATTTCCATGAAAAGAGAGAGAGAGAGAGAGAGAGAGAGGAACCAGGCAAAAAGAGAAGGAGAGGAGAATCGGCAGTGTGGGACGCGCACTCCAAAGGAGAGAACCACCGAGGCGGCCCGCCGTCCGATCTGATCAAGTCTTTACACTCTTCGAAATAATCTTTCAACTTCTTCCGGTTCTCCTCCGTCATCTCGTCCAGGTTCCAGTAAACATTTGATATTAACTCATTTTCTTCCTTCCTTCTCTGCTTCTTCTTCTCCGACGACATTCCCTTCTCTACGAAACTCGTCGTCGTCGTCGCCGCCGCCGACGATATCTGCTCTGTCGACATCGCCATCCGTTGAGATAAACTTACACCCCGGTCCCTCCCCGAATTCCCGGATGTTGACATCACCGATGAACCGACAAGAAACTGACAAGCCCTGGTTGCCGCCATGGTGGAACGAAGTTTGTCTCACTTTGTTTCCAGCTAACTGATTGAAGCAACCGCTGAAATGATAATAATTTAACAAAAGAAAGATGATTCTCGTGAAACGATTAAATAATGACTAAATTTAACAAAATAGGATAAATAAATAGTTCGAAACGTTGGTGCTCGGTAGTGGAGGCTTTTTGTTTTGTAAATTGTAAGAATCGGACAAGACAGGGGAGCTTTTAACTGGCTGGTTGGTTTGTCGAGATTTCCGCAAGTCTGTCTCGGTCGGAGGGTTTTGTTACGGTACTTTGCAGCTGCGTGATTTACTAAAAGTCTAATGCTAAATTTTTGACACGTATATCTAAATACATTAAATTTGTCTTAAATGAGGTTCTAATTATGAATGTTAATTAAAGTTTGGGATTACTTAATAAGGTAATAAAATATTACAATTTGGATAATAATTAAAAGCATTGTGTTTTAAATTGTATTTGAGATTAATTGTTTACATAAATTGGTATGTTCCAATAAACAAATATTTAGAAGTTACTTAAAGTTCGTCATTGTTCTTTTATTATATTGAATGTTATGATTAAATTATATAATTAGTCTCTATATTCTATCAAAGTGATGGATTTAGTTTATATATAATACTCTTGTAAAAATTGAATCTTTATACATTTCAAAATTGATAATATTAATTCAATATGTTAAAAAAATTTTATTATTTATAATGATATGACGTTTGTTTGTATTGACATTAAATTTTTTTACTTATATAAAATTGCATTTAATGATATGATGATGATAATGATGTGACATTTAACAAATGATACAACAGTAGTACTAATATGATGTGACCAAGTATTGACATAAACTTTATAAGTACGGACATATAATCATTTAATGTGAAAACTAATGATTTTAAATGGGATTGGAAGAGGAATAGATGAAAAATTCAAATCGTTTTTTAGGATTTATGGAAATAGTGCTATGAGACATAAAAAATTTGAATTTTTGCACTTTATAATTTAAAACTATGTAAAAAAAATTGTGACATAGATAAAAAAAAAAAGTCACATTATCGTATTTAATACCACATTAGTAAAAAAAATATCATATCAACATAAATTACAAAAAAAAATTAATATTGTTAAGAATTGGATTGACATTATCAATTTTAAAAAGTGTAAAAATTTAATTTTTATAAATTATTATATAAAGATTAAATCCAATACTTTGATAAAGTATAAAGACTGATTTCATAATTTAATCGAATTTTATCAATAACGAAATTGAAATACACCATACAATATTTCGTTGATGTAAGTAGCAAATTTTCATCAATTGTTTATTTTATGTTAAAATTAACAAAATTAAAAATATAATATTAAAATTTAACAAAATTGAAATATTGTCACAAAATTTAAAGTTGACTTGTAATATAATGCCAACTTTGACCATAAAAGAAGTATAGCTACACAATGAAGGAAAAATGCCTTTTATAGAATATGTGGTCCAAGGACGCCTACGCAACTTCATCTTTTATGGATTATACTCCTACACACTTATACATCAATCATTATTGATTTAGACAAAGTTTAACTATGATTAGTCTCCCCTTTTAAAATTATATAAAATAGTAATTTATATTTATGAAAATTCATTTCACTATGGGTGACATAATGGAACGTACCTTTCTCTTATTTGCTTTTATTGCCTCCAAATAAATCCTAAAACTATTTAAAAAAGTTAATTGTCAATTATCAATTATCAAAACTAAGCTAGAGAAAGTTTTCTTTTAATTTTTTTTTCAATTCTTAACTAACAAATTTTGGATATGTGGATGAGTAACAAGCGAAAAACACATATCTTAATAAGTAATTTTATACCACATCATTTATCACGTGACAAGAACGTCATTAAAATAACATGTCAACTTATCACATGGCAGTTAACATGGCATAAAAAATACCAACTGTAATAGTTAATAGTTAATGAGAAAAGTTTATTTGATCTAAAATAAAAATTCATAAACTTATTTAAAATGTAATAAAAATATAAAGATTTAATTAACATTTTTGAGATATTTCAAAGGCTTATTTGAGTATTTAACACACACACACACACATATATATATATATATGTGGAAATTCATTTCACTATGGGAGACATAATAAAAAGGCAACTTTTTTTAATTTGCGTAAATAAATTAATCTCTTCAAATTTTAAATTTTTATATAGCCTCTGAATTAGAATTTGTTTTAAAAATTAGAATTTTTTTGGACACAATAACTATAACTCTTTTGTCCAAATTTTTATGTCCATATTTCTTTTTGGGAAATAGTACTCACTCTATCTTTTTTTTTTGTTCATCTTTCTTTTTTGTGATATCCCAAAATAAAATTCTTTTTTCTTCTTTAAATACTGCATAATTTGTTTTCTACATTATAAATTTATTTTTCATGATTTTTTTACTTTTTCATATTAAAAAAATATTGAACATCTATATTATAAAAAATTCAAATTTAATATAAAATACATTAAAATTAAAGCTTTAATCTTAATTTCTATGAAAGTTAGAGAGACAAAGAAAGAGAGACGGAAAGAATATGTGTTTAAATTGCTCAATATAGCAATAGAAATTTGATCTATGAAAAATAAATTGATCCCCAACTTAATAAATAAGATTTATGAGTATAGAGAAATTCACAAATAAAAAAAAAAAAGAAGAAGGTGATCTATTGAATTCTTAAAGTAGCATGGACATATGTATCCATTTGGGAAAATAATTTATCAATAAATAGATGAAAAGATTAAAAGAATAATAACAAAAAAGGATATGCAATATGGGTCTAAAAAGCAAGTAGCTCTTTTATAAAGAGATCTATATGCACAAACTTCAAATGATTCACATTCCAATTTTGAAAAGATTTTTCACCATACCTTAACCTTAGTCCTTATGGCAATTACAGGTAATGTGATTGCAAGTAATGTGGATTGCAAGCAATGTGATTACAGGGAAAATAACATTACAGTGTTTGGTATGTAAGTAAAACAATGATTAAAATGCAGAAAAGATAACATTGCAGTGTTTGGTTTATAAGTACTTTAGTGGGAATGTAATGCTAATTGTCAAATTACCCCTAATTATTAAAATATAAGTTTAATTAATTTTTTTTTTATTATTAATTTTTATATAAATCATTTCTTAAATATATTTTTAATATCATATATTTTATTTTTATTTATTATTATATATTTTATATTTATTTTAATATATTTAATATTTTATTATAATTTTTATATAATACATTTCTAAATATATTTTTAATATCATATATTTTATTTTTATTTATATTATAATATTTATATTTATTTTTAATATATTTATATTATTAATTTTATATAATATCATATTTTAAATATATTTTTAGATTCATATATTTTATTTTATTTATTATTATATTTATATATTTTATTTTATTTCTTTATATATTTTTATATTATATATTATATTTTAATTTGTTTTATCTATATTATATAAATATTAATTTTTTATATTTTTATTTTATTTTAATTTTTATTCTATATTATATTATTATTTTAATTATAATATTATAAAATATTTTAATAAGATAATAAAGTTGAAGGGTAAAATGTCTTTAGAACATTGCAGATGTGCAATGTAATGTGATTGCATTGGTTTTGGACTGCAATCACATTACATCCATTGGCTGCAATGTGATTGCATTGCAATCTTACATTGCAGTGATCTGTTACAAAACAACCATTACAATGTAATTTAATAAGCCACATTGCAGGGAATGTGGCTTACATCCCTGATACCAAACGCCACCTTTTAGTCATCATGCTTCTTATTAAAAATTTGACAAAATCACACACTATTTAATTGGTAAAGTATTTAGCTTATATAAACACCTTACAATTTTGTTTTTGATTAAAATGAAAGGTTTTTAAATAAAGAATTTTCGTATTGTGTAGCTAAACAATTACAAAAAAAAAATGATGTATAATAAAAAGTGCTTTCATTAAATTAGATTAAATATATTTTTGATATATCTGGGAATTCTAGTCATAATTCTTCTAAAAATTGTACATAATAGCTAAAAGATCTCTTAAATTATTTAAAAAAATTTGAATAAACAATTATTCTTTTATTATGTTCAATTAAACCATTATACTACTAGTAATTTTTTATGGCATATGATGTTAGCAATTACAAATCATTCAACATTGATGAAATCTGTAAGTTAGCAAGAAATTTTTATTCTCAATATTTCATAGAGCAAGAAAGATTTCTTTGGAGATTACAATTAAGGTATTACGAGTTTCATATACCTCATCATTAAGGTTTTGTAAATATTAAGACACTTTCTAAATTGTACCATAGATTAATAAAAATAGAAAATTTAAAAAATTGCAATTGATTGATAGAGTAATTCACCTTATTTTGACTCGTCTAATTTTTGCAGTAATTATAAAAAAGAGTCTTTTTAATGATGAAAATTATAGGAATAAGACTCTGTAACAAAATGAGTGATGAGTTTCTTGCAGAGAATTTAGTTGCTTATATTGAGAAATACTTTGCTAATCTTTCAGTATATAGTTAATAATTGATGAATTTAATTCAAGAAACATCTTTAAGTATAACTTTTCTAAAAGATTATTGCAAGTCTTTCTTTTTTTTATTCTTTTTAATTTATATGTTATATAAAATTATTATTTATTATGAATTCCACGTATTAGTTTAAAAATTTTTTAAACCTTTATTATTCTTCGTCTTTGGCCCTCCAACAAAAGTTCGTTAGATTCACTTTTAATGATAGTTAGTCAATCATTACTTATAAAAATCTATTTGACTTAAAATAAAATTACAGTAATTTAATTAAATGTAATAAAGAACAAAAAAATATTTATTTTTTTAAAATAATCCAAACAATGTTGTAAAAACATTATATTTAAAAACTAGTAACAATCTTTTCTCAAAGTTAAAATTAGGTACAACTTATAAATGCACAATGTACAACAAACACATGCACGACTGGGAGTGTTCTCAGCAAATGCTTGATAGATTAGATTTCGTTTTCAGTTTCATATTTATTTTTTAATATATATATATATATAAAGAGAGGATGGAATCTTTAGAAACGGCACATCTAGGCTTTTCCTAACATTATTAAGGACACGTCGCAGAGGATAATGAAAACAAAATGCGCAATGCGTACCCCATGTTCCGTGTTGTGCGCTCAGGACACTATGTTTTTCTATTAAAAAATATATATAATATATAAATATTTACTTATTGTATAAGTATTTATTTTAGAAACATTTTTTATGTAATAATATAAATATTAATTTAAACAAAAATCAACCAAATGTCGAATGCCAAACACATGTTGATATAAAAAATTGACAATTGTCAATCTATAAAATACCAAGATTGGATCTAAAGCCACCATTAGAATTAGATTTAATATAGTATTATATATAAATAGATATTTATTTATTAAGTAAAAAAAATTCAAAACAAGTAAAATAAATTTATGTTCAATGGGTTGTTAGCTGTCACCACATGTCAATTAATAATTATCTTTGGAAATAATTTAGGTATATTGTTTCGTAATGAAAGCCAACAAATTCCAGATACCAAACACTGTATAAGACAAAAGAAATTTACCGAAATGTCAAATTATTGTGCTAATTGCTTAAGAAAATTAAGCTGATCAACTTGTGTTTGCACAATGTTGCCTTTCTTTAAAGTTCAAAATCAAAACAAAAGACAAAAAGAAAAAAAATAAAAAAAAATTGACATTCATAACGAGAACAAGGTAGCATCAATATTTTATTTTAATTTTTGTGAAAGATAAGTATACTGTCTCTAGTTGAATTGGAGCACCAGACAAAAAAAAATCATTAACTTTGATTTGTATATTCTGTTGCAGTAGGTTTCTCTTGCTTTCTTGGATAATAAATTACCAATTATTATGAGCATGAAATTTTCATTTATTATCAATTTAATTTGGTATATATTTAAAAAAATTTAATTTATTTTAAAAATTTAAATAAATTCTTATTTCTTATTTAAACCAATTTAGCCTTTATATGTTTCTTTTGAACCATCTAAACTTTTGTGACGTTAATTAACTTTTATTAGTTAAAATATCACTTATCATTTTATATCATTCGATGTTGACATAACATATTAATATGTTATAATAGATAATGATGTGATATATTGATGTAATATATGACATGATCATATAGTATTTTTTCACTCTCCACAATGACAAATAATATATTGATTAATAATAATTAGTTAACTGTTAATTATAAGAGTCTATTTGATATAAAATTAAAAATTAATGATTTATTTAAATTTTTTTCAAGTATTATATCATTTAAGATTATGAGAAAAAAAAGAAAGAAAGAGAAATTCAATTTCCTAAATTCGTATCAATCATGGAAAGAAGCTCAGCCAAATGCCTATAATTATGAGTAAATATTCTAAAATTGTGAGGAAGGAGGAAGATACATTTGATATGTTATAAATTATTGATAACCAAGCACAAAATGAAAGTGGAGAAAACAATGGAGAAAACCATGAACTGAAGATGATGATGTTTAGGCAGAGCAAATCAGAGCTCAAATGTTGGAATTTGAGAGGCAGAGGTTGAGCCATGAGTGGCCTGGTATGCTAGCCGAGACAACAGATTCCTGTAAGGATCTTTTTCTCTCCTCTCTTTCAAGTAAGCAAGGCATCTCTCAACCTCGGACTTGATGTGCAGGTACAGTTCATGAGACTTGTCCTTGTCTCTTAGTTCCACCTTCATCCCTGCAGAAACAGATTTCATCAGATTACTGTTACTTTAATTACGTACCTTGTCACTTGATGATAATTAATTAATTGCCTTCAGTTTCGATCGGCTTCCCGAAGTAATAATAAAACCGGCCTGGAAATTTTGGTAGCATCCATGGTAAGTGCATTTGTTGGTTTGCCACCTCGCCAGTTGCATCAGTCCTATATATCATCAAATCATAATGATTATAAATTAAATCACGATGTCATTAATTTGATTCGATTAAATTACGATATGATTAATGCAACAAAAGTAAAATTCGGATTTTAAATTACCTTAGTTTTATAGATCGATTGGTTACTCGTTCTATTACTTCTCTTCTCCAAGGAATCTTCATTTGGTCGTTGTAGTCTAAAATTATCTGAAAAACATCCATATAAGTAACTATGATTCATGAGAAGTTAAATTAATCAACTTAAAATTAATTAGTGATACAAAACATGATCTTAATTGCTGTACACAACGTAAAGAGATGAAGTATTTGTGCACTAATAGGAGCAGTAACCCAATGCTTCTTTTTCTCTATTTTGCTTCAACAAGGTATCAACTATACATTGTACACTCAAAATCTCCCCAAAAAGATAAAAATTTATATATAAGAATGAATGAATGAATCCATATTTATGCTTTGAGTAGGGTGAGAATTAAGCAGTTCAAATTGAAAGAATTTATTAAAATCAATTGAATTTGATTAACTTGGATTATTTTCCTAATTTTGATATTAATTGATTAACAAAGAAATCCATTCAATATTAATTGAACTCTATTTTTTCTTAGGGCTGTTTTGCGCATGTGTATCTGGTTTTGTGGTAGATTTAACAGCAGCATTGGCAATTGCATTTGGTCAATGGAGCAATTCTACAACCACATCAGCCAAGCTCTCTGGGAAAGTGCCCAGAAGCTTCATCACATGGAGGAAAAAAAATGTGCAAATTTTTTAGTTTCAATTTGTGATAAAAAGAGATCAAAACTATTTTATGCCTAACTTTTCCAATGTTTCTTCATATGGGTATTTTATAATTACGAGCAATATCGCATATAATGGTTCAAATTCAGACTGTTTTGATTGTTACTAATTACAATATTATCCGAATCTGATTATAAAGTAATTTGATATTATTTAATGGGATCTAATAATGCATAACATCTTATTATAAGATACTCATTGTCTTGTTGGGTGAAGATTACTTTACATAAATTGACCCGATGAATCAGAAATAACTTGTCAAGGGTCGAGGCTCAATATTCATATATATACTAATTAATATTGCTATGAAAAGAAGTAAAACGGGAAGAAAGTCTTGTAGCTTACTTACCTCAGCGATATCATCCTCTCCAACAACACCAAAAGGAATAATTTTGGCTCCAAATCTAGCTGCCATCCTCACAAACTCAGATTGTTCTGGCCAGAATAACTTGTATTCTTCACCCTGTTGAAAACAATGTGATGCATGCTCTCGGCAAGGAGAATTAAACTAGATTTTGTATTTCATGAACGTGCATCAAATGTTTTTTAAGATCTAAAAGATCTTAAATTTTAATTTAAAATCAATTGATAAAAAATAGAAAAGGTTTTTTTATTATATTTATATTTTAATATATTTTTAACTTAACAAAAGTGAGACCATCATTATTCTAATACTCTTCCTTGCATGTAAAAATCATAGACATGATAAGACCAAGAAATAGAGAAAATACCTACCCGTCTATCATATTTAACTTTTAAAATGAACGTCTAACTTAAAACACTTATTAGTAATTAGTTTTAAAATTGAATTTCCACACTAAAATTTAATAAAAGTGGTTACACGAGGTAAAATATATGTACCTAATTCAAACGATGGTGTCAGCATATTACCTTCCTGTGCAGGGCCTCACGTATGCCACCAGGGTACAACAAGGCATGAGATTTTGAAGACATGAGCTTGTAGAAGTTTGCTGGTGAGACAGGAACTGCACCCATTACTCTAAACACGTCAAAGTTTGATGGCTCAGGCTCAGGGGGCCTTCTGTCTTTCACTCTTACGAACATTGCTGGATGGGCTATCCCACGAACAAGAATATTTCTGTCCGTCAGAAGCTGAGCGACCAATGGAATAATTTCAATCCCCATTAACATGTGATAACCGACGAACAAGACTGGTCCCTCTGATGGAATTCCGGCAAGTCCCCTCACCACCTTCCCATCCTCTAATGTTGAAAGCATCACAGGGCCAGTAGCAGTAACAATCCATCTAGGAACAATATACACGTACTGATTACATGAAAGCCATAAAAGCTTGAATTTTGATGATGCAAGAGGCAGGTTATTCTGTCCATCTTCCAAGTTTTACATTCTGAGTTCTGACTTAATCCCTTGGGTTTTTTTTTTTTTTTTTAGTGGGGAATCATTGTTCAGGATAGTGCTAAGTTCTTTGATTCTGTGATAAATGTTAATACAATAAAAGGATCGTATGAAGATCCCTATGGCTATGACTTAAGTGGATGCACTTTATGAAGATTCAAAGGAGAAGCCTTGGTCTAGAGGGGTGAGGGAAGAAACACTTTCTTCTGGAATGATTGGCGGCTGCCAAGTGGGGGTCACTTTGGATCAAATGGGTGACAACGCAATTGCTGTAGTTTGGTATTGCCAAGAAAATTCTAAGGTATTCTGGTGTTTTGGCAAAATCGAAGAGCAGATTACCTGAAGCCCTCAGCAGAGAAATTCAACAAATGTGGCATTGAGTGAGAGACCATGCATGTGAGCCCTATAGAAGATGGTGCTGATGAGATTTTCTTGTTTCCCATTAGCAAAAGGAGACGTTTACAATCAAAAGTGCTTGGATGACTGTTAAAACAATTTTTTTGGCAAGGTGCCATGGTTCAATCTTAAGCGGCTTACAGAACTCATACTTAGGCAAGGCTTCAATTTTATGCCTGGCGATGAGAGGGAGATCGCAGACAAAGACCAACCAATGCCTAAGACACATTGAACTTCTATAGATTGGTTAACTGTTATATGAAACGAAACAATTCAAGCTTGGAATCATAAGTGTAAATGGATGTTGGAGAACTTTCTAGGATATGACCACGGGAGCTCTATCATAAAGGTGGTTTTCACTAGTGTAAACAGAATCAGGATACAGAGAAGTAATAAAATCTTTAGAAAAGTCAGCAGAATATGGCAAGAGATTATTGAAGAAATTTTCAAGGATGTGCAAATGCAATTCCCGTCAGGCATAGGGAGCTACTTTGTTGGAATGGTTGCTCAGGGAATTCCTGACATAGTTGGTATGATGGTGGACTGATGTTGCTTAAGATTCTTTTTGTGTTTGCAATAACTTTTAATTCATTTACCAAAAGGATTAGAGAATATAATTGGTACTTTCCTGACCTAAACGATTCATATATTCTTTTGAATTCACAAGGTGTTGGTGGCATGTAATCTGACACACGGTCAAGGTGCTTTCCACGGCGGTAGAAAGTAGCACCCTTGATGATTGTGACCAAATCAACACTATCTTCCTGAAAAATTTGGGGCAAAACTATTTTATATCAGAAAAGGAACTTGCAGTCTAGAAGATTACTTGATGCCTATGCAACGAGAGCGGCATACCAGGAAGAGAAAATGACCACTTTCCTCAAAAATACGAATCTCACAGTCTGGCATTGCTTTTTGAAGCCTTTGGCTTTCCTCTTGACTAGGCAACAGCTGATCTCTTCCACTATAAAGAAAAATACAGTGAATTCAACCGCACCATCATGGTAAAATTTCAAATTTAAAGTTGCAAATTTGATACAACATGTAACACTCAACTATTTAGGTATCTACTGCACAACTTCAACATGGTCTGTCAAAATTTGGGATTATGGCTTATAGACACCAGAAATATGGATTTAATGTATGAAAGATGAGGAAGTGAGGACATAGATTAATTCCTCCTTTCTTAACCATTGTTTTACAAATCAATTTCATTTTAAGAATTCCTTAGCATGCCTGTATGAAAGCAGACAATGCACTATTTTGATGTGAGTTAGATGCGTCGGATTATGCAAGAAGCTCTTAAGAAATTGCTATCTGATATGGCGCAAATTTAGGAAAATAAGAACCTGCAAAGGATCAGCATCTGAGCTTTTACAGCATGAAGGCATGAGTTGGCACATGCAGAACCAGATTTCAGCAAATCTAGCTTCCACTGAAGTGTTTCCCTAGGTAAAATATCAGCCAGAACCTGTCACCAAAGGACTATTCTCTTTCTGAATTTTGTAGCTTATTATGTGGTTATCTTCTGTATATCTAGCTCAAAAGGATGCACACTGTACTCTAGAGGAGGAGGAATGGAAGGACAATTTAAAACAGGAGCAAAGTGCTATGAGAAAAGGTATGGATCCTACCGGGAGGTATGATGACATTGTAACGAGATCTTGAGATAGCTCTCCAATAGTTTGGGACAGAGGACCTCTTTTCACAAAATTATCCATCAGCATCCTCGAAGGATCACCTAAACATCTTATTCTGTCAGGTCTAATTGGAAAAGGACAATATGCATCCCAAGAAAGTTGAAGAACATTTTCGCAAAATAACCTGTAGGTAAGCTCAGCATGTAAGAGAGATTAAGTGGGAACCGATCAGGCATAATCTCCAGTAGAGGTATTAGTGGTTGCAGCTGTGACTTACTAAAAGATGTTGCTGTGAGTTAGAAAACATGAACAAGAAAAAAAAGATCAATTAGATTCTCTATGGACTAAGCAGAGGAGCAAACTCAACTGTATCTGCAACAAAAGCTGATTTTTCTTGGAGCTAAGGCAACTTATCTTAAACATTTTCTAAATCTGAATACATATTTATCAGAATTGCAAGCTGAAATAACAGTTTATATAAATCAGGTATGGGATTGTAACTTCTGACCTGGGTTAGATAAAACAAGTACAAGATCCATCTCAGGATTCCGAGCTGCAACTGCAATGGCAAGGCATGCTCCAAGAGATTCTCCTACCAGATATATTGGCCTATTTGGTGACCTGTAGTTCTCTGACCTTACTGTTCTTTCCACAAGTTTCACTAGCTCTAAACCATAAACACAAAATCATACAGAAAAATAATGTATCTCATAACTTTTCATAGGCATTAATGGAGAAATTAACTGATGAAAACAGAGAAAAGAAAAAGGTGTACCTGTAAATGGTGTTCTATCCTTAACTGGAATATGCAAGCACCAGACATTGAACATCCTTCATTCAAAGATCATTTAAATTGGATTACTGGGATGACAGACAATTTTGTTAATCAATTAACGGCAAGGTGAAGAAAGTTTGGCCATGGCATCAAACTTTCAAAGCCAACTGCTATTTTTTTTTTTTGGTAACTTAGCTGGTTTTTACTTACTTTCCAAGCTTATGATGACGCATTACAAGCCCAAGTCCAGTGCCATCAATTCCTGAAAACTCAGTAACTTATGTTATGTTATGGATGAACAAATTAATAACTAGCAGAAGATTGCTGAGAAAAAGAATGAAACCGAACCAGGCAAAAAGAGAAGCAAAGGACAATCTGGGGAACTAGAAGAGCACTCCAAAGGAGAGAACCAACGAGGCGGGCCACCATCTGATCTGACCAACTCTTTACACTCTTCAAAGTAATCCTTCAACCCCTTTTTGCCTTCCTCCACTTCCGGCAACTCCTCCGGGTTCGCGTAAATGTTTGGTTTCACCTCAGTTTCTTCCTTCATTGCTTTCTTCTTCTTGTTCTCAAACCTTGCATCCTCTCCAAAACTCGTCGCCCCATCTATCCGCTCCGTCGAGACAGCCAAAGAAATCCCTCGACGTTTCTGTATTCCTCCGTACAAGGTGGTGCGCCGCTGAGAAAATGGAGATAAGCCGGCGGCGAGGTATGCCAGAGCTCCAATGGCCGCCATGAAAACGGAACCAATTCTCTCTCTGTCTCGCCTGCTCTGTTTGTTAATATAATGGTGGTTTTTCGATGGGTTTTAAATCACTGTTTTGTTCTGTCATGCATGACGCTAAAGTTATACAAAATTTTTATTAAAATAAATTATTTATCTTTCTTTTTTAGAGATATCCGAAAATAATTTTATTTTTCATTTCCACACTTAGGGGGCGTTCCGTAAGATGTGAGGGAAATATATATTTTATATTTAAAGGTAATTTTATTAATTTATATTATAAATAAATATATTAAAAATTATAAATTTATTCAACTTATATGTTTTGTATACTTAAAAGTAATTTTGTCAATTTATATTATATTTCTGGTAAAATATTTACAAACCAAACACTAATTCTCTCAACAAACACATTCTCTGCCAATCATTTTTTTTTATTATACTAAACACCGCAAAGTTATATACCTAGTAATCAAATTCTCAACAATTACATTTCTAATAATATACTAAATACAATCTTAACATTTTTATTTTTTATATTATAAATTTATTTTTTATGAAATTTTTATTTTTTATATTAAAAAATAAATGTTTATATTATTATTTTTTAAAAAATTTATTATAAAAATCAGAATTGAAATTTTCGTCTTAATTTCTATGAAAATTGAAAAAAGATAAATATTTAGATGTGGAAAGAGTACTCTTTAGTAGTTATTGGGTCACAATTAACAGATAATTAAGGGGTTAATTAATTAAGATGTTAAACAAGAACAAAGAACAAACTAATGCATTAGCCGGCATAAATTTATTAACATAAGCAGACCAGGCATTGCTTATAAAAAAATATTTTAAAGTCATTGAGAAAGTTTGTTTCTTTGTAATAAGCTGAAATTGTAGTTTCATTTACTTTTGATCTTTCTTATTGTTGTTTAATAATGAATAGCTTGTAAGAATAAAATATTTTAATTATTGTGCTTATTTTAATTACAAGAGCAACATGCTCTTAAAATTTATTATAAAAAATTTTACATGAAAGAGAAGGAAAAGTTGTTGAATTATGCTTACGTGCATGTATGTACATATTATTATATAAATTAGAGAAAATTATGAAAAATAACTTCTCTTAATAAAGATATTTTAAAAATAACTATCAAAATAAATTTAATTATTTTTAATTATATTTAATCCTGACTTAACAAAAATACTTTTGAAACTATTTCAAATAAATTAAACCAATCATTATAATTTTTCTTATTTGTGCTTCCGATTTCTCTCTCTCACCATCCCTTTCTTTAATTTTATCTATTTCTTTCTTCGACATTCATCTGGTATGTTTTCGATTTCTTTCTTATGTTTTTAGATTTCTCTTTCTTATGCTTTCAAGACATCAATCGATGGTTTTGATGTGCTTGGCTAGATGGCTATTTGAAGAATTTAATTTTTAAGTATTTTAGATAAAACTAAAATGGTAGATGATTGATGTTTGAAATAGGTTTTAATTGGATCAATTCAGGATCTAGACACAAATAAACTCAAGACTTTGAAAATTATAAACCTAAGTTTTCAAAGAATTTTTTTTTTTTGTTCAAATAGGTGTTTTAAATCAGAAAATTTGTATTTCGATTTATGAAAATATGTTAAAAACACTTTAATTGGGGTCAAATTGCCAAAAAAAAAATGAAGAGAGTTAAGAGGGTTTGAAGTTTTGATTTGTAGATAATAATGACATTTTAGGTATTAAAGTGTAGCAAAATATTTTTAAATATGGTGTGTATCAATAATATTTTCTCAACATAACGTGTAATAATAATATTTTTTTTAATATAGTGTAATAACTTTTTTTAACCATGACGTGTAACATGTTTTTGCTTATGACGTGTAACAATAATATTTTTTTTAAACATGACATATAACAACCTAACCATGATATGTAACATATTTTTGTATATGGCGTGTAACAACCTAACTATAACATATTTTTTATACATGGTGTGTAACAACATTATTTTTTTTAATATGGCGTGTAACAACCTAACCATGACATGTAACATGTTTTTGTACATAGCGTGTAACAATATTACTTTTTTTCAACATGGCGTGTAACAACTTAATCATAGCATATCACATGTTTTTGTATATAGTATGTAACAACTTAACCAGAACATGTAACATATTTTTGTATATGACGTGTCACATCATGATGTGTAATTTTATTAAAAATAATTTTGTTCAACTGAGTTAAAAATAGTTAAAATTATAAAAAGGGCTATTTTTGAAAATATTTTATCATTAAGGGTTATTTTTAAAAATACCTTTTATTATTATTATTATTATTATTAGTCATTTAAAACGAAATTATTATCACTCTAAATGCTTTTTTCAGATGAAAATTTTGCTTTTAACATATTTTATATTAATTTTTTAAAAAAGTTATAGTATAAATATTTAATATTTTTAATATAAAAATATAAGTATTAACGGTCTAAATATGAAAAAAAAAAGTTTCATTTTAAAACATCTTGTAAAAGAAAAAAGATTGAAAAGGTTTAATTTTTATATTTTTCGAGAAAGGAAAACAACAAGCCTCTAGAATTTTCTGTATTACATTGATGAAAATGTGTACAGATTACAATATATGTCACAAGTCTTAGAGTTCAGGACAAAGAAAAAAAAAAATACAATACAAGCATGAAATACTAATAGAAGAAGCTTTCAATGCAGAAAAAAAAATTTAAAGCTCAAAGGTAGGAATTTGAGAAGGGGAGGCTATGGAGCCAAGGCTGGCCTGGTACAACAACCTAGGCAATAAATTCCTGAAAGAGTCTGCTTTTCTTTTGTCTTGCGAGAAAGCAAGGCATTTCTCAACCTCAGACTTGACATGTAAATGCAGTTCTTGAGATTTCTCCTTGTCCCTTACTTCCAGCTTCATCCCTTCAACAGAAATTTTTTTATTGAAATTGATCTGACTTCTGCTGCGATATTTGTTTTCAGTTTTTTGACGAATAAAAGCTACCATCTTAGGAATCTATCAGTAATGACATGTATACCTACCGACCTTCAGTTTCTATTGGCTTCCCGAAGTAAAAGTAGAACTTGCCTGGAAATTTTGGGACCATCCATGGCGTATACACTTGTTGGTTTGCCACCTCTCCAGTTGCATCAGGCCTGTCATTAAAATATTATAGAAAGAAAACTCAAAGGAGGAGTTTGGTATGGGGACACATTCCAAGGCATTTAATTAGTGGGAATGGCTCTGCCATGTTCGGTAAGCAAAGATATAGTCAAGGTACATCTTTCAAGATGGAGAATTTGCATGATATCTAGTAAAATTAAACATGCCTCAATTTCATTGATAGCTCTGTCATTTCTTCTATTTGGGTCCTTTGCCATGGAATCTTTACTAGATCATTACAATCAAGAACTACCTGAAAAGAATAAGATGTTAATAATTAAACTCAAACAGGCCAGACAGAACCTGATCCTTGTTGCTGTGCGCATTTGCCAAAGATATCAGAAACCCTTCTTCAAAATTTAATATAAATATATATGAAGATTTCATGATTACCACAGCAACATCTTCCTCTCCAACAGCACCACAAGGCACGATTTTTGCTCCAAATCTAGCTGCCATTCTGACAAATTCAGATTCTTCTGGTCAGAACAATTTGTATTCTTCGCCCTGGAACATTTTTAACAGGTGAGTTTTAGCCTAAAGAACACCATGGTGCAAGCTTGTGGTGAAGAGGGATGTCTAACATCATATGGTAAAATTTACCCCTTTGAAAATTTTTCCATCGTATTGGCGTAGAGAATAATCAATCTGCCCCTTCATTACCACCTCCTTTGAATGCTTTTAATTCACCAATGGCGCTTGAAAAATAAATTTTTGTGCTAATTTTTGCCTTTTCAGCTATTAATTATTATTATTATTGTTAATTTTGTTATCAGAAGTCTGAATAAAATGAACATTGAATTGCTTTCTGAAGTGCAGATCAAGGTCCAAGTATAACCATAACAAGATCTTTACCTTCCTATGAAGAGCCTCACGCAAGCCACCAGGGTACAACAGGACAAGAGACTTTGAAGACGTAAGTCTGTAAAAGTTAGGTGCTGAGACAGGAACTGCGCCCATTATTCTAATTACGTCAAACATTGATGGATCAGCGAACCTGCTGTCTTTAACTTTAATAAACATTGATGGATCAGGGAACCTGCTGGATGTGCCAGTGCTCGCAAAAGAATGTCTCCCTCAATCATAAGTTGAGCTACAAATGGAACAACTTCGATGGCCATTAGCATGTGATAACCAACAAACAGGACTGGTCCTTCAGAAGGAATTCCAGCAAGACCTCTCACCACCTTTCCGTTCTCCAATGTTGAGAGCATCACAGGGCTAGTAGCTGTAAGGATCCATCTGGGAGAAGCATAAGTTTGAGAAGATGAAATTCAAAATTAACTGGTTTCATACAACTTAATGACTGACCAACATTCCTAGAAGGAGCAAGTGTCAGCTTACAGCTAAGTGATAAATTCTGGCCTAATTCCATGAGTTTTCTCTTTGGGGAAGAAGGGAAGGGAGAGGTTAATCCCTCAGTAATCCGTAAACAACAGATGGATCGTAGGATCACGGCTCTTTATGTGAGTGATACGCTTACTTATGTGATTCATATTTTTTTTTTAATTCAGAAGGTGTTGGTGGTGTGTAATCTGAGCCGCAGTCAAGGTGTTTTCCACGACTATAGAAGCTCGCACCCTTGATGGTCATTACCAAATCCACACCATCTTCCTGCCAATTAAGGAACACTACTACTCGGTTATCAAAATAGGAACTTCATTTTGTTATATTTCCTTTTCTTACTTTCTTTTCTGTTCTTTTTCCTTACAAGTAGCAGAATGAAACTTGCAGTCTAGATGACTACTTGATGCCTATACAGCAAGAGGCCTACCAGGAAGAGAAGATGACCGCTTTCATCAAACACACGAATCTCACATTTCGGCAGAGCATTCTGAAGTCTTTTACCCTTCCTCTTGACTAGGCAACAATTGAGCTTTTCCACTATAAGGATAAGCATAGAGAGTTTAATCGACCATTGAAGTAAGCAGCAGATGTGACAGACAAACAACATGATATTGCATTTCTGCATTTTTCAAGTTCATTTCAGCAATTCCTAAGGTCCCACTTTGCTAAGCAGAAAAATGAAAAGTAATTGAAGCTGTTGAAACTAAATGGAGCATGCCAATGACTAATGACCTGCAAAGTATCAGTGTTTGAGCTTTAACAGCATGAAGGCATGAATTTGTGGATGCAGAAGCAGTTTTCAGCATCTTTAGCTTCCATTGGAGTGTTTCTTTTGGTAAGATATCAGTCAGAACCTGTCATTTGAATCATCAATTTTCATTTTTTTCCTTTTTGAGAAATTTGAAGCACATGATTGAAAATTAACATGAACGCATGATCAATTGTTACATGTGGCAATCCAATAAGATGGCAAGATACAATTAATAACATAGCATATCAAATGTAACACTGAAAGCACAGCATATCAGATTAAGATGGCAGTGACTGAATGTAGGTGCAAGGTGCCACAATAAATTTTGACACTACTCTTCTTGGGAAGGATCTTACATGGAGGTAGGATGACATGGTAAATAGATCTTGTGATAGCCCTCCAATAGTTTGTGGCAGTTGACCTCTTTTCAACACATTATACATCAGCATCTTCAAAGGATCACCTAAACGTATGTAGCAAAATTGTAATTATCAATTTGACTAAATTTTCAGTGACTATCTCCTAGGTAACTTCATCATAATTTTTAGAAGTGATAATGATATCATGTTCTCCTATGTCTAATGGAAACAGATTCTTTGCAACTCAAGAAAGTTGAAGAACAGCTAGGTCAGCAAACCTTTCGTTATGCTCAGCATGTAAGGGAGATTAAGAGGGAACTGATCAGGAATGATTTCCAGTAAAGGCATTAGATGTTGAAGTTGTGAGTTGCTGAAAGATGTAGCTGTAGGGGAAAACAAGAAAAAGAAAAGAAATTCAGTTAGATACTATATGAAGTAAGCAAAGCAACAAAATGAATTCACCTGCAACAAAAACTGGTTTGCTGGGTGCTCAAGCAATATACCCTAAGCATTTTTAAACCAGCTGTTCCCCTAGCCACAGCAGTTTGACTCAACATTCATCAGGCAGGCGTTCAGAAAGCTGATAACCTCTTCCAATCTTTATCCTTTTTCAAAAAGGAATTATAGTCATATTTCACCTCAAAATTTTATAACCCATTTTCATACTTAAATTTAGTACTATTCATATGTAAATTAACAAGCTATCGATGTAACTTCTGACCTGGGTTAGCCAAAATAAGCACAAGATCAATCTTAGGATTCCTGGCTGCAACAGCTGACCCAAGGCATGCCCCAAGAGATTCTCCAATGATACATATTGGCGTATTTGGTGACCTGCAGCTCTCTGACCTGACCGTTCTTTCAATCATCTTCACTAGCTCTAAACCCATGAACTCAAAGTCACACAGAAACTATCTCAAAACAGCAAAGACTTATCAGCTAGGCATCAAATGAGCAAGCAGATTATCTGTAATTGGTATTCTATCATTCACTGGAATATGCAAGCACCAGATTTCGAAGATCCTTCATTCAAAGGTCATATAAAGTAGATTACTGACAGCAAGGTGAAAATTTTCCATAGCTTCAAACTTTTAAGAGGTGACAGATGACTTGGAAAATATTTGGAACTTAATTATATATATGGCTAATTGATAGGATCCTGACTAGTTTTGCTTGCTTTCCAAGCTTATGATGATGCATTATAAGTCCAAGTCCACTTCCATCAATTCCTGCAATTAAAACTCATGGTACATATAAAGTTAGTCGATGTTCAACTTGAATATATTATAAATATACAGTGTTAAATTAAGATCGACTTTATTATATTTATATGCCCAAAATACTCAAATTTAATAAAAATAAAATTTATGTTATCACTATTTTAATATATAATATTTTTTCATATGTACAGATAATAGACTTATCAGAGACAATAATAAGAGAAGTAATGTCTCTTTTGTTATCATGTTAAATTTTTAAGCTACACATTCAATTTAAAATCATTTATAGAACTCTCGTTATATTTATATGTTTAAATATCTTAATAGATATGAAATTTCTTTTATCAATTGCTACTCTAAAAGTGTTGAGTAAAGCCACCAAAGCGGTGGCTTTAGCTCCAAATTTTTATCCGGTCTCTAAATTTTTATAAGCTTTCTAATTTTATAAAAATAATATAATTAATTATATTAAAAATATACAAATATTAAGATAATTAATAAAATATCTACCTATTCTCTTATACTTAATAAATATCTATTTTTTCTTGTTTAGCTTTTTTCACATGTAAAATAACATATTCTCTTACTTTCTTAATTTTGTGCTTAATAAATTTTAATTTTTATCACTTTCCAATTCCTATGATACTATTGATTTTCCATTATTTCTGTAGTATTTAATGATCTCCAACAGCTTTTATTTTCTTAACTATTTTTTTTATTTTTAATCAATTAATGATAATATGTATTTAATAATCTCTAATAAATTTTTTTCTTATATATAAAATCAATTTTATTTTCAAATTATAATATTTAAATTCAAATTCTTCTTTCCTCATTTACTTTTAGAATAATATTAACAATTTCAATAAAAATTGTTCAGCAGAAATAAGTTTTTTAAAACTATAATTAATAAAATCTTATTTAAGATCAACAATAGATGAAGAAATATTAAATGAATCGGTTATATTTTTAATTAAAAAATAAATATTAAAAGATCTTAATTATAAAAATTTAATTAGAAAGTTTATATCTCAAAAAGTTAAAAAAACAATTTTTTAATAATTTTTTTTTTAAAAAAATTCAATTAAAATAGTGTCATTTGAATATTTAGTGTAGAGAACAAAGAATAGAGCTAGGAAAAATGAAAACGAACCAGGCAAGAAGAGTAGGAGAGGGCAACCCGGAGAAGTAGAAGTGCATTCCAAAGGAGAGAACCAGCGAGGCGGACCGCCGTCTGATTTGATCAAATCTTTGCACTCTTCAAAGTAATCCTTTAACCTCTTTTTACCTTCCTCCTCCTCCGGTAACTCTTGCGGATTTGTGTAAGTATTTGGTTTCACTTCAATTCCTTCCTTCATCGTTAATTCCTTCTTCTTTCCAATTCTTCCAATATTCTCTCCAAGCCTCGCTGCCTTCTCTATCCTCTCCGTCGACACAGCTAAACTCTGACCACGTTTGGGTATTCTCAAGCAGCATGAGGCAATGCGTCGTCATCGAGAAACCGAAGATATGCCATTGAAGCACAGAGAAGGTGTCGCCATTAAAGCGCCCTTTTGCTTAGAAAGAGCTCTGTTTCTCTTCCTCTGTTCAGCGTTATGTACAGTAAGTGCTTTCCGATCAGTTTAAGTTAGCAGCTTTATCCATATGATATATAACCTAATCTTACAATAATTTTTATTCATGTAACATATAATATAGTTAAATAATATGATTACATGACAATTGATATAACAATTAATGTTATATATCATGTAAATAAAAATTATCATATAATTATGTTATCAAATTATATTATATGTCATGTGGATAAAAAGTATTGATTAGTGTTGATGTTGATCATTATTAACTTTTTTTTAAGATTAAGAGTTTGTGTAGATACAAATTAAGGAAAAAAAAAGTTTATTTGGGAATAATAAATTGACATAATTTAAGAATTTTTTAAAAGTGTTTGAGGGTTTTTTTTAATATAATAAACCTAAAGACATTGACCGTACTTATATCAGTATATTTACAAAAGTGGTATACATGTTTTAAACTTACTTTGCAATGATTTTTTCTTACTGAAAAAAAAAAAAGAATAGTGTTGTGGAGCAATTTGTTCCTATTGCATGGAATATGCCGGCTTGATTATGTATAATTAATATTTGTTCCTCCCATATTATTTAACTGTCTGAGAAAAATATTTGAAAATAATTTTGAAGAAAGTGAAAAGTTGTTTCTTTGTACGGAACTTCTTAGTTTACGACAATATAAATTTCATTTTCTTTTATTATTTTAATCAAAGAGTATCTCTCAAATGCGTTAATATTATTTTTATATAAAAAAAATTGATAATAATGAATAAATTACTGATTTATCTAAATTTCTTTTTTAACAATTTCTGTTATGAATGTTCATGAATCTATAAGAAATTAGTTTATGATTATTTAAAGAAAAATGTATTATAGAAAAAAAAAGGAGAAAAGAAAAGAGGAATGATAAATTGAAGTACACAAGAAAATAGTATTTAAAAGTGGTTATTCACTTTATTTTTATTTATTTCAAAAAGAAATATATCCAAATATAATAATTTTTTATTTTTTTTACCCTTTTTTTCTAATTTTTCTACTTCAATGTGAAGCTAGGACAAATTATTTTCATGATATAGTTTTTTTCTCAAATATTTTCACTGATTGTTGGCCCAATTACAAAGCAAAGGCTCACAAAGGAACGTGGAGGCCCAATTATTTTGGACTAAAGAACAGGCCCAAAAGTTTTATATTATTTAAATATATATTTAAAAAATATATTATTAATTATCAATTTTTCAATTGGTTCGATTGTAAATTTCATACCAAAACCGATTGAACTAGTTGAATAAACTATCCCTGATATCAATTAATATTAAAACTCAAAAAATCAACTCGAATTAATTAAATTCAATCGATTATTTTAATTCGAACTGATTAATACTCGTCTCAACTAATCTCCTGATTTACAAGTCATAACGCGATAGCTATAATATAATTCTCTGCCAAACAAATTAATTACTCTATTTCAAAGTTAGGGAGGAAAAAAAAACAATGAAGAGCTTTAAGACTCTAAAAAGTAAAGATAACATACCCCGTGAGAGAATATCTATAACATATTTATAAAAAAATCCCTTTGGAGCTTCCTCCTCTAACTACGTGGAAGGCATAGGAAAAAAAGAAAAAGAAAAAGAGAGGTAGAAAGAGAAAGAAAATAATTAATAAAAAATGACTCGTGTACAACGTACGGATCATAATTTAATATTGATTTGTTTTAAGGTAACAAAATGAAGAGAGTGCCCTTAGAAAGGTTAATGTCAAGGTGTCAGATTTTGTTGTTGTAAACTAATTTGAGATTGGTTATTTATTTTATGATTTTCAGAATCCTTTTGGTTAAGGCTTAATTGTATACTCAATCTTCTTTTGAAGGCATAATGAATGATGGGTTACTGCCTTATCTTTTGCTTTTCATTTTTATGTTGTTCCACGCTTTGATGGAATTAAAGGGTGTTGGGTACAAACCTCAAAAGGTGGTGGAAACTAATTGAAGTCCTAGATCTCGTTTGTACAAGTTTGAAGATAGAGTTGAAATATACTACCAGTGTATAGTATTTACTATTTATTGTAGAGGAGGAAGTTGAAATGCCAATGTATAATGCAAACTGTCACCCTAGCTTAGCCATAAATGCATTGGAGGGGACCATGTTCTGTTTTCATTACTCTTTCAATTGAAGAATGTTTTGGATGTGTTTAGTTATATATTTGATTTACGAAATAAACGTGAATAAAATTTCCAAATTTTAAATATGTTAATAAATGTTTGATTGATTAAATAGACAGATGTAAAATATCATAAATAGGATTTGTCTTAATTCGTGTCCCTCGAGTTAACAAGAAGGCGTTTCATGGCTTTGCATTCATTTTTCCAACCAACGTCAAAGGCATTGGCAATTGACAGGAGAGAGTGGTAGGTGCCATTGTTTTGTTTTTCTTGGGCAACTTTTAATCAGTCTTGAAAACCTGGCACTATATGTCCACATGATGCTTGTGGGTATGGAGCTGATGCCATTGCCTTTGAGGTTTAGAACCAAGCCTTTTGAGAAATGAATTATTCTACTTACACATGAACAACCATATGGTAACAAGTTGATTTTCTTGCTGCCAAAAATTCTACCACCAATTGGTTTTTCTACCTTCTCTGGTGCTGCTTGTCAGGTAAGCTTTCATAATCAAGAGTGAGACATGACATCTGCTGTGAATAAAAAAAACAAAAGAACAAATTAACTGATGGGGTATTTATTAAAATTAAATTTCGGTGGCAAAAGCCAGCAATTAAGATTGTTTCCAACTTTCCTTGAGGTAAACAAGCAGCAACCAGTTCCAGGATTGACAAATCACTTTCTGAATTTCCAGCTCAAATGCCTTTGTTGTCAGATGTAATAATAATTTTTTCTTTCCCTTCTGCAAACAACTCCCCAAGTTTATTGCATTTCTGCAGGTTGTTGGTCCAAGTCCCTTTCATTAATAACTTTTGTGTACAAGAAATCATCCCCCCCAAAAACAAAATTTCCCTCTACAAGCCAAGTATCCTATTGGAACAACAGAAGAATTGAACACTTGATATTACTCCTACAGGGCAATCCGTCGGTAGAATGGGGCTACAGTTACTGGTCTCCTACTAGTATTTAAATCCAAGTCTTTGGTTTGGTTCCCTTGACTTAAAAAGGCGAAGACTCCTTTGTATCTCTTTAGCTTCATAACTCACAAGTTGCAATGAGTATTTGTTAGATTGGCTTGCATCTGGACAAAGCCAGCTCAAAACTTTCAATCCAACTAGGTTGTATCTGTTTTGGCATCTGCCAAAAATCATTATCTTCCTTCAAACTCTTCTTCTCAGTTTATTAAGTAGCGTATCTCCTCTTTCTCTGCCTCCTGCCTGTCCTTTTTTGTTCTGCCCTTTTGTTTTTCTTCTTCTGTCGAGTTGTTTTCTGCACATTCGTGGCAAAGGAAGGGTCTCTAAATGGCACAAGAGGTTGCCAGAGATAAAGCTTCATTCATGCTCCAAGCCAAATCTTTGGGCTTTCCAGGGTCAAACACCTCAAAAACAAGTTTCTTTATGGCTCAAATCATGCTCAGGGTTTTTGCTTTTGCTTTCACAGTGGCTGCAATCTGTGTTATGGCCACAAGCTCCCAATCCATCATTCTACTTGGTTTCTCTATTAGAGCTCACTACAGCTACTCATCTGCTATGAGGTAAACACTGATTTTAACAGTTGACACTGTTTTGATACTATTTCTTTTCTTTCTTTTTTTTTCATTTGTTTGTTTGGATGGCTAATAAATTAGAGAAACCCATTTTCTTGTGGTTTTGTTACAGGTTTTTACTTGTGACAGACGCTATAGTTTGCGCCTTCTCTGCAATTTCATTGATCTTGGTTTGCCGTTTGAGACGTTCAGGATCATATCTCAAGAGCTGTTTCTATCTGTTTATGCATGACATGGTAAGCAAATTGTTGTTTTCTTATTGAAATGGACAAAAAAAGAATGTTTCCTCTTCAAGACTTCAGAAACCACGACTAATTCTCACCTATGTGAGAAATAATTCAGGAAAACTCCCCAATTTTGAGTTTATGATCATGTCTGAACCAAGAAAAGAATGGATGGTTTGATGGAAAATTGTAAATGGAAATGGTCCGTTGAATTTTACTAGTACTATTATCATTCTTAACAAATTTTGGTGTATTGCAGGTGATTATGGTGTTGGCCATATCTGGATGCGCAGCGGCCACGGCAGTGGGTTATATCAGTAGATATGGAGAAGAAAAAATGGGTTGGATGGCTGTTTGTGATCGTGTGGGGAAGTTTTGCAATCATATGATGATAGCCATGGTGTTCTCCTACTTGGCTTTCTTTTCTTACTTTGCTCTTGCTGTTATGTCAAGCAAAAAAGTCATGTATCAAGCCAATGAATGAGTACCAAGAAACTGAAAGGCAAGTGAGCCCTTGAAGATCAGAGACAAAGACAGATAATAATTATCAAACAAAGCAGCTTCTTCAACTTGGTCTTGAAATTTACTATCTCTTTTAGGGGTTAGATGCTGTTTCTGTAGAAATTACAGTGCTGGTAGGAAATATAATATATTTTGTAATTGACTCGGGTACTTTACATGTTTTATTTACTCAGATTAGAATTACTGAAACTTGCATGTTGAGACAATTTTAGCTATGGACTGCAGCAGGGAAGCTTCTGAAATTGCTTTAAAGCCTAAATTGAACTGCTCTAGGCTGCTAGTTATCCTAGGTAATTTGGAACTTTTGTTCTCACTCTTGGCTTCAAGACCTCCTCTGGCAGAACCTTAAGCTGTTCTTTTCTATTACTACAGCTGTAAACTGTTTGGAAGAGATCAAAAGCCTGCTTATCTAAACTATTTAGGTCAATGATTTCTATTTCTGAGAGCCATCATTATCCAAGTTCCTCGTAAAAGTGCCTGAGTAGTATTCAATTGTTTGTTTGGAAACAAATTTTAAAGCAGAGAAACATGCTAATTCTTTTTGATCTTAACCACCTGGTTTACAGAGTTCACCATCAAGTCTTGACATCAATGGGATCGTGAAACCAATGCTAATGATCAACAGGAAAGCAAAACTTTAACAATCATTGCTTGCGACTATCTGTCTTACCATATTAGATAAGATTTGTATAAGAATGTTAACTAGTTTTGCAGGAAGATATGATGAGAAAGGCTGCAAAATTCTTTTCATTCTGTTTTGATCTCATCCTCGCAGTCTTTGAGATACTCTTTTAGGGACTGCCTCTGGTTTTCCCACTTTTCACAATCCCACGCTGGATCAATTCCAGGTAATTCATAGTCATCAGGTCTCAGTGATAGTTGGAAATCTGGTAGGTCAGGTAATGATTGGAGGGCCCTGCTTCACCACCAATTACAAAATAAATCTCTGATCATTAGTTGAGGAAATAAATTGAACTCAAAGTTGCAGAGATGAACTAGTCAGAAACAGCATACTTCTCTTGTTCTAAGAGGTAGCCATACATCTGAGATTTCCTTGATGCGACTTCAGGTATTTTCTGGTGTAAATGCTTCATAACTCCCCAAAGTGGAGGAGCCCTTCTCCACCAAAAAGGAAAAAGAATTAGATTTTGAAAAGATTGACTAGAGACAATACCATAACAGTTGACGATTTTCCTTTCCTAAGATCGAAACCAACCTGGTTACCGGAGCTGAAAGGCAAAAGCTTATGCAGGTTTTCTTGCTCTCTACAAGTAGTTCTTGTGCAGCTAGAAAACAGCATACAGCACTAATATGGTAGGTTGGTTCATTACTCTTGTCCAGGACCAGACCATGGTAGTAGTAAGCAGCAGCCTGAAGATACCATTGCATAAAAATTTAGATTCATATACAAAATTGAGTGAACATTGGGATGAGAATGTTTCAGAATTCTCGAGTTTGCAATCGACTGTGCTCAATACCTTTGATTCAAGGAATTTCCATTTGATGAACCACGTGTGCTTCTTTCCATATCCATGACTTAAGTCACATCCAGACAAGCATTGATAAGCCTGAAACGAAAAAGAACAGGCAATCCAGTTCAAAGTATGATAATCTGTTAATTCCATCAGCTTAACTGGTGAATTCTGTCTATGAAAAGCTGAAATCCCTATTCATACAAGCAATATTCATAGAAGTATGACGATCTCAAAGGTTCTCAAATGGAAAAAAAAAAAAAAACCTGACTGTAATAAATGAGCTGTTCACAGGCCAACCTCCTCTTCACTGATAACGTGGCCTTTTGACTTTCAACTGCTAAACCAAGCTGTATTTCAGTTCCCTGAATCCAAATCCATTTTATTAATGTCAAGAAATCAATGCATGATGGTCTGGCTTGATAGATTTCATCTATCTGTATTTAAAGCACCAATGGGTCTGTCAGTAAATGAATACCTGGCCCAATGCTTGGATAGAAATAGCCTCTAGCACACCATCCTGCAAATCTTTGGACAAACTTGTCCTGGGAATATCGATGACATTCAATCAGAAGCTTGTACTCGAATTATGTAAAGGGTATTTTGAAGATGTGCAAATTTCTGTACGTACTTGATTTCTGCTGGTATGCGACTAAGTACATTCCGGATACCAAAATCTAAGTACCCTGCTGCCTTAAGCAATAAATCGACAGCATCCCTCTTGCAATCTGGTGGTGATTGTGACAGATGATTTTTTGGTGATTAGACTAGAGTGAAAGTAGCCATAGTTTGAAATTGCCAAATTGGCTTCATGGAAACGCCATATCAGTAAGCAAAACAAACCTGTAGATACCACCCTAAAGCCAGAACCAGAATAATCCTTGGGGGTCATAAGCGTATCAGCCTCAGATAATGTGAGCGTAGCCATCATGTGAACAACAGATAACAATTCAAACCAGGCATTTGCTACACAAGTCTCCTGCATATTTCAGACTCAATTTCAGTTCACCAAAGATATGGAAAGAAACAAATATTAGATTCCTGATGCTCTTACTTGTCGTCCGTCTTCTAAATTTTTCCACTTGAATTCCACCAAGTCCTCAAGACCATGTTCTGCAATACATACGTGTTATTTCCATCATACAAACATGTGGTACAAAGGGGAGAGGATGAGAGCAGCAGATTCCTGAAACCTTTCTTAGTAAGTCCAATTAGAATTGACAAGTACTCCTCCAGTGCCTGCCGCAATTCAGTAATAGCAGATCCACCTGCAACATCCAAAATTCCACTTAGCTTTAAAATTTTCCAACATTTTCTCAGTGCCATTGGGAGTGAAAGATGAAAAGGAAAAAAAAAAATCATGAAAAAACAACAGGGTCATAAGGCCAGACCAGTATCCTCTGCAATTAACGCAATCCGATTCCTTAGACAAGATAATCTGTCGATAAGATCACGAGGAATTAGACCCTTGAGCACTCTTTGGAGATCACATTGTGCTGGAATTCTCATAGAAGGAACATATACCACCACTTCCGGGATACTCAGCTTCTTTTTCCTCCCAAGTCCGTACACAGAATAAGTGCACCCCATCTTTTTCCCTGGGGATTCTTTTCAAAAATAACATCCTACAAAAACCATTGAAAGTATCTATACTTCAGCTCCATGAGTGTTCTAGCAGTGAAGCCATGGTAATTCAGGAACATATGGACCTGAACAAAGAACAGAAACTAGAAGCTTGAGCAGACATATATGTTAAAACATGTATATATATCAGATGTTTTCAGTTTCGTTTCAAAGCAAATGTACAAAAACAACATCCACAGTTATGTCAGAAAGGGAAGAGAAATCAATCACAGAAATAAAAAGAAAACACTGGTGTATTATGTATAGCAGAGATCTTGAAGTAACTCACTGTATACAGAGAGAGACCGGAAGAGAAATGAAGCTTCGGGGATGCAATGCAATGGAACTCCATATCAAGAGAGAGAAAAAGAGGGAAAAGAATCTGGGAATAGAAAGCTCATGGACCGAGGCATATCTCACATGGCTGAGACGTAGAAGTCTTCATTAGCATTGTTAAAGCAGCAGATTGAAACTTCCCATATAAAAAGTATTTATTCATTTCTTTGACGCAACTGGCTATTCCAAACAGATTAAAAAAAAAAAAATCCAAAATCACATTACCACTATCCAATCTCAATCGTACACCTGTAGTACCCTTCATTTTGAAGTGTAACATGAGACAATTACAGGGAGAAACTCTTCAATCTAATCATTTGCACAAGGCAGCATTAACTGTAATTAAATTTGAGATAGTTTTATAATACGTTACCATATACATCTTAAGATAGTGACCGTAATTGTACAGTTTATAAACTAAATCAATGAAATTATGATACTGATAGATTAGAATACGATTACAATTTGTTACATTCTGTTGACTTGATTTTTTCTTAATTATAATATAAAATTTCTCCTTTCTATAAGAAAATATCCTGCAATACAAGGATTGTGATGGGTTTCCATTGAAGGTCAAGTCTGGACTTTTCTTGAAGGAGTTTGGTAGTTGGTGTCGATGAGTTTAAATTATGGCTGTTTGAACTGTGCACGTGGGGACCAAGCTTGATGGCTGGACCAAATGACAACTGGTGTTACATGTTTGGTTTGCCCTTTCCTTAACTACGCCTTTTCCTGAGAAATTGCAACCGTTGATTTGCCAAATCACCCTTTTTTATTTAATTCTTCGAATCTACTCTGCAGTGGTCGAAATGGGCTACATTCAAATCACTCTCCTATGACATAGGGATGTGGGCAGCGAGCAATTAAATCAGAAAACAACTTTGATACAGGTGAAAGTTACCTGTTGACAAAGCCCTTTGTAGAATTATTTGAGATAAGATTAGTGAGGTTGACATATAGAATTATAATTGCGTAGATAGGGTTTACATAAAACTCGGATTGATCTGGTGTTGATTCCACCACGAGATAAACTGCAGATCCCAGCAATACCAGAAACGGTGAAAGCCAATGTTGCAGGGGTACATTTGTGTGATTTGCGTTTACTTCTGCAAAAAAAAAAAAAGTTATGATGAGGTTCAGAGTCAACTAGATATATACAAAAAAAAAAAAAAAAAGAAGCTCAGATGCTGTCGATGGATCAGCTGTCAACTCCACCAGGATTCATCATAGTTCTGCCACCATCCTGGATACGGTTTGTTACCAGGCATATCAAAATTACAAAGTTCCCCAGAAGCACCAACCTGGGATTTTGAGGGCTCGGAAAGTTTTTCCAAGAGCAACCGTTGGGAATTAGCACATTAGATTCACTGGTTCCTAAATGAGCTCTTCAACTCTTTACAAGATTGTAGAAATGTGCAAGTAACTCAATTCCATCAGCACCATTATTGCACTTGAAAGACTCGAATCATGGAAAGACTCTTCATTGGTTGCTGAACCAAAATGGTTAAAAGTAATGTTTCAAGTCTTTAAGTGCATATTTGTTAAAGCATATTTGTTCTGCAGAAGCTATATTTATAGTGATTATAAACTTTCAGCTTGCCAAAATACTAAATATAGAAAGCCTAGGCAAGTAGCCCTTTTTGAATTTTTAAAACTCACATCCAACCTAAAATCAATTAACAACTAACATCTAACTTAAAATTAATTAACAATACGTGAATCAATTCTTGTTATATTTATATAATTAAGATATCTTTAAATATTCATTTTATCACCATTTGGATACTCATATGGTACAAATCATGGAAGAAGATCTGTGAGTGACCAACCAATAGACACAAGATTTGCTTTGATATCATGTTGAATTTTTAAGACGAACATTCAATCTAAGACCAAGTGAAAATAGATGAAGAGACTCTTCTTATATTTGTATTCAAAATACAAATAATTTAATAGTTGTATGGTTTCATTTATTACCAGTACTTACTCCTGCGCATTTATAGCTAATAACTATCCATCGAATATAGGAGCATGCAGTCAAAAACTGTGTAATTGCATACATATATCTTAACTTACAGCTAACGAAATGCAAAAGTTGGGGCAAAGATTTTTCTCCTTTATGACATAGGGGAGCTACAATAATCCTGTAGACAAACTAGGGGAAGAAATATTTACAGACAGGGACTTCAGAAGGAACACATGTTATCCAAAAAGGAAAAAACAGCCCTTACACCTTAACATCTGGAGCTTCACTTGCCTTCACAAAGCGACCTTTGAATCTCTTTCTAGTATCAGCCCTGGCCTTCCTTGACTCATAGCGTATGTGCTTGTCATATCTGTCCACGTATCAGGACATCAAATTGAAAAAGAACGAAGATTTTTTTAAAAGAAAAAAAAGGGTTAGTCATGGAAAAACAGAAAAACAAAACTAAAAGATCTTAAACCTCCTATGTTTCTTCTTCTCCTGGTACCGTAACATGGCATTGCCTCTGTTTTGTGCCAGCAGTTCCATGTCAACCTTAGCTTTTTCCTCATTCATAGACTCACCACCGGCCAGAACCGGATGTTTCATGACCTGGACATATCTAGTACTATCGCGTTCTAGGGGTTCAACCACCTTGGAATCTGATGATGATCCAACTACTGGCACATGGTTACTTTCTTCAGTTGTTGCTGTGTAGCTTGAGAATGGTTGATTGCAGCGGCTCTGCATTTTCGCAACCAAGGTTCTTGATACGCCAGTTTTCAAAGTTTTAATCAATAAAAAATTTATAAAAAAGTGTTAAATTTTTAGGATGAACATCCAACTTAAAACCAATAGCCAATAAGCGAAAAGACTGCAGGAAACATCAGAAAATTTCATCCTTCTTCAACCAAGTTCCTTGCTTTGATAGAGTTCTTTTGGTTTTGTCTATTGATTTCAGCAGTCAAGCCTCATATTAAAACTAAACACAATTTTGACCAAAGATACAACACAAAAAACCAGTGTTCTGACGAGTTGAAACTATCAAATCTCGAATAATTTCTTTTCTCCATGAATTTTCAGCTATTTTCTTTCTAATAACAAAGAACCAAAGAGGTAGAAGTAAGAAATTATCTTTCCTTCTTATGAAAGAGCAGTAGTAAGTAAGAAATGAGGAAGGTTTCTTCCAGGAATCACATCACTCAAGTATTTTGTCAGAGATACAAGAAAATCCTATCAACACTTCCAACTAAGTCAGAAAACAGTTTATTTACTACTGTGATATAACCCCACAAGGGGAATAAACTTCAAAACCATTCCTCCTGAAAGCGCGGGAAGAAAAAGCTTCCTTTTATTTCTATTCTTTGAAAGTGTACCTCCAAAAACTTTCAAGACAACTAGCATGCATGGAAGACCAGCTACAAGTTAAAGGATTTCAAACTTCCATAAGAATTTTATCAAGGAAATGAATATGAACTTACACTCCTGGACAAGGTATCCTCACATTTCATGGAGAGGCTCATCTGGTCCATGTCTTGAAAGACTTTAGTTTCTGACAGGGAACCTTCCTTAGCAAACTCATCATAGTTCTTAATCACAAAACCGCGACTGCTTATGCTATTCTTGCAACCTGCATCTTCTGGACGGGATTCTTCACAGTCTCTTAACCTTCCTGATTGAAAATCCCATATCTGAAAAGGCACATGTGAAGATTAAGCATGAGCTTGTCATAAAGAATTTCGATTGAGTTCTGAGAAATGCAACCCAAGAATAACTCAAAACACCTCACAAGAAACAACAAATAATGATCTTTATAACCACGCACATCAAACATGGTTTACCACAAGTCTAGTCTCTCTTTCTGGTATGAAGCTGCAAATGAAAGTTTACAAGCACATTGTGCATGAAGATGCAGCGCGATACAAGATTAGGTTACAGGTTTAATAGTGGCCATGAAAAGTGGTAAGATCATAAAAGCATTTATAAATTCGCAATGTGAAGCCCTTTGCTGCTGCACAATGAAATCTCATCCGTAGAGGCATTGATGCACCATGATCACAAAGGGTCCAATCAGGGCTGGAAAAGTCCACTTTGCAGACTTTAAAATATATAGCACAAGGACCATTGGTATTTAAATAAGATTGTTTAGCCTATAAGATCAAGCATGACCTCTCAAATATAACTTAGATACCTACAAAATTCACCTAAAGAAAAAACAGATGAAATACACCAGAGAAGGGCTACAAACACAATCACACAACCAACAATAAGTAAATGACAGAAAGAGAATCATGACACTTGACATGACTTAAGTTAAAAAAATACTAAAGAACGAAAATCCAAGCATAATAGCAATGTTGTAGTAGAATATTCGGGATTTATTCTTCTAACAACTTACATTAAAATATCATGTACAGAAAGCTCCTTTACTCTTTAAGGATGTCCAAGTTCAAAGTTCAAACCCCACCTCCCCCAACTTGACTACTAAAAAGAGTAAGTTAAATTAGTGAAAAAGATTGTGTTTGATACATACCTTGGAAGCCTGATAAGAAGAGTTATAGTCCCAGATAAGCTCTCCTTCAGCGACATAATCAGTTTTTCTTAAGGCCACATTGTTTTGCAGCATTAGCAAAGAGGTAAACGAGGTTTGCTGGTGCAGCAGTTCTTCATCATCCCCATTTTCCACCTCAAAACTCCCTAAATTCCCCTTCTCAGCACTTCTACTAGGCGGCGTCCCTGGCCCCAATTCAGCTCCATCACCACTTACTCTCACCAAATCTCTCTTCCCCATCTCAACCAGTTGTCTATACACCTCATGGTTAAGCTTAACAGAGCTTAGCAAAGCAGAGGAAACAGAGGAATTCTCATTTGGGACCATAAAATCTTCCAGATTCATCAGTTCTTGCTCGTATAAAGAAAACCCTGGATCCAAATTCATCAAATCTTTTGGTTTTAAATCCAATCCCAAAAGAGAAGCTAATTCAGTCACTGAAGGACAACCTGAGAACCTTTCAACTGGAGAACGCTCGTGCAGAGCTGAAACAGAACAGTTGCTGCTATGTGAATTCCAATCACAGTCTTGGCAGAGTATAAGATTATCATTTGAGCAAAGAAAAGAAGCTGGTTTGGTTTTGCAACCGTCGCAGATCTGTGAACGAGCATGCTTGAGAGATAGAGCATTGGCAGAGTGGACTTGTTGGTCACAGAACAAGCAGAGCTTTGCAGAGTCAGCTATGCAGTACAAAACCGCTGGCTTTGAGTTGCAAAAGTCACATAGAACCAGCACGGATCTTCTCAGCTTTGATTTGGTAACCTTCTCCATCATCAATAGTTAACACAAAGTTTTTGGTAAATCTAATACCATGCTTTTAAAGAGTTCAGATCTTGTAATTGAAAAATTAAAGAAAAGATGAGAAGTTTGAGATAATTTAAGGGAAAGTAAGGGAGCGTGGAGCTGAGTGCAGCGTATCTCTCAATGACTGGAGAAAGAGTCCAAAGAAATACTATTGGTATACAGTTCAAGGTACAAATATTACATGGAGTTGATATATATGGAGTACATGATAAGCATGGCAGACTTGCCAGAATAACAGGAAGGATAGGTTGACAAGTGGGGGTCCACCTGGGAGAAATATCATCACTTTTTCTGCTTAGCTGGCCAGAAAGCTCATGCGCCGCCCAAGCTTGCTTTCTTTAATGGCAGATGGGCTTTGACTCTGATTGAGTTTTGGATCAGAACCTCTATGTAGGCTTGTTGAGCCCTAAAGCGGGTAATGTTAAGTAAGGTGAAGGCTTGGATCCAACCTCTCCCTAGGCTTCTTGAGACCCAAAGCTGGTACTGTCGAAGGCTTCGGTTGCATGGTTTTCAGGTTTCTAAGGAGGCTTGTGCCTTCACACACCATGGCATTGGAAAATAGAACATTCCAAGGTCACTGAGTTAGTTGGGGTGAGTTCGGCATTGGCTTGGCATCTCCAGAATCCAATCCTATACACAAGTACATGTCAAAAGCACATTCTATCATAGGATTTGACTAGATTTTGAGATGAAAGTGTGGTTTCAGGTCATAAGGGAAGGGTAATGAATGAAAGAAACAAGGCCATGAGGGAGGAGAGGAGGTCGTTAGCTTAAGGTTAATTAACTTCGAGCAGTGGTATTACCTGGCAATAATTGATATGGACAGCTAGAGATGCTTAAAGAAGGACGAATAAATACTTCCATGGCCTTTGGGCGTAGTGGAATGCATATGCATACACAAAGGCAGTCAATTAGAACAAAAGCCTTTGCTAGTGGCAATGGCATTGACTTCTTTTTTTTCAATTCTTGGTAAGCTGGGAGCATCTCAAATTGGACGTGTGTTGTCAATGGAAATCATGTGCCCCATGAAACGAAGGTATTGATTTGTCCATTGGTGTTTCCGTCAGCATTCCCCAAATGTCTTGACCAATGTTCCTTTACTAGATTTTGTGCTTGCTTCCTTTTGAGCCAAGTCAAAATCATCTATAAATTTAAAGCATTGAGAACTACAGAGAATTCACTAGAAAAGAAGTGGTCACAGGCTTGGCTTAACAGAGTTGCTCAAAGAAAAAGCTAAGCTCGATTTGTTTTTCTTTATTAAGCTGTTTAAAGTTAAATACATGCACTTTGGCCATGTCCCAGTTATCAGTTTCTTTTCATACGAATATCCTGAAAGGTTGAAAACCAATGGTCTAAGAGTCATCTGATTTTGGTTGTCAATCAAATGATTTCTGATCAAGATTGAGAGACGCAAACTGAATGAGCTTTTGATTTGCATGACTTTTTTTTGGAGTTTAGGTAGCAGTCACACCATTTAGATTGAAGACATTGGCCAAGAGCTCACATGGTTTGAGTTCATAATATCTCCACCTGATAAAAACTAAACAGAGAGAGCGTTGAGGTTGAAGTCTAGGAAAAAAATTGCATAAAAAGGACTTTTGAGCCAAACCTAAGCCCAAAAGATGCACATGGAGGGGGCATTGGTATGCATATCTAGATTATGCTACAACTACCCTAGCCTTACATCTTTTCAAGGGGCTAAGATTAGCTGCAAGTTGCCTTGCCTGGCCAAAGTGCCAGGTGACCAGTTTCTGGTCAGAAACTTCAAGACCTTTCCTTAATCTTTGTGGAGAGTCTATCTCTGAAAACATGAGGTCCCTACATTTGAAGAGAATATATTCCATTATGGGCAGCAAGGCAGCCAGAAACAGCACATAAAAGGGAAAACTCTATAGATGAGGCAAATTGATGAGAGGCCGCGGGATCAAAAATCATGCGTGGCATTTCGAATCTGATCTCTATTCTTTAATTTCATTTGCTATAAATACAGACTTCACAAATGTTGTGTTGGCATCCGCATTGGAGCTTGAAAAATACTAGAGCGGAAGAAAGGTCTAACGTGAAGATAAGAGTTCTGTTTGGTAGCCAAGGATGACCTGCCTGCTCCTTCCAAGAGGTTTTAAATCTTAATTCTAAAACCTTGTTGGGTTCCCAGGCAGTCATCTTGGCTAACTTGACAGGCTCTTTTCTTTCATGTCACGACTTGTCTTCTTCCCTTGTTAAAGAGTAAGCATTTGGATATGAAGTGAAAGAAATGAAGGAAAAGCTCGGGATGACGATGGAGAATGCATGCGTATGAGGAAGAGAGGTCTTCCATGAAGATAAAGAGTCTTGTTTGATAGCCAAGGATGACTTGCCTGTACCTCACAGCAGGTTTCTCTTAAGTTAAAAGTTCTTCCCTGGAAGCCCCTGTCTAGTTTCCAGGCAATCATCCTTGGCTAACCTGACAGGCTCTTCTCTATCATGCTAGACCTTCTCTTCTTCCTTGGTAACAACTGAAACCATCATTTCTTTTAGCTCCCTGTCGAAGAACAATGTGCTGCAATTCACTTCATTTCAGAAAAATAGAAGCGTGCATGATGAATTCATTCATCAATCTGTTCAGTTTATTGCTATGCTCTTCTTCTCTTCGGATGGAAAAACCTTTTTCCAAAAATTTTCTTACTGATAAAAAAACCATATAAACAGTAGCAGGGATGAGCCACTCCTTCAGGATATGGCTCATGTCAGTATCTAATTTTTGTCCAATGCCCAAAAACCAATCTTTTCTACTTACACATAGGGAACTACTAAATTGGAAAATGACATTTGCTTGAAGAAAGAAGATTTTCAATTTCTTTTTTGATTTATATATATAATCTTATCCTCTCATCTTAGTTGTATGCATAAAGGTGATCTTGCATTTGCATGCGGAAACAAGTTGTTTTCAAAGGTACCACAAAATGTTCCAGGTTCAACCCCTACACTGCTTTCCAAAGGATAAATAGCTACCAGCCTGTGTATAAATTTCACCTTTTGCTTTTTATCTTGTCGAGCTTGTGAAGCTTGATGATGTTTCTCAATTCCTAATTTGCCAAAAATTATACTTATTGATGATCTTTTAACTTTGCATATATTAACCCCAAAGTTGTTCATGGATACTGATCAGAGCTTTGTTTGCTAGTACTCCTTTCCAAAAGTTCCAAAATGAAGTATTAATTAGCTTTAATTTTTGAGTTTATATTAAATATATAGTCGGATTTTATAAGAAACTCAAAAGAGTTTATTAATAAATAAATTTAAAAATTAAATAAACACTAATAATTTTAAAAGTATTTGTTTCAAAAGATTTTTAAATTTTTACTTTTGCACATATATAAAGTGACATATTATGATTAAGTGATGGTGTATATGTATTATATACTAATAATATATTAAAATATAAACACCTAAATTTGCTTAAATGATAGAGTTTCAACTTCAATCAATATTCTTAGATTATATGGGACCTTGATATTTTTTCTCAAAATTAATGAATAATGATGCAATTTTATTCTAATTAAATTTCCTTATCAAAACTCTACATATATTTATTTTTGTCATTGTCAACATTATCCTACCATGCTTGCAAAAATCTACTACTAGTACTCAAATTCTCCATTCTTTAAAATACATAGTACTATAAATTTTCTATTTTCTTTTTTTATTGTGACATTATTAAGTTTTAGTTAATTGATGTAAAACATGGTGTTGATTTGGGTTTTTGAATATTTGATACCAGCAAAATTTGTTTTTTTTTCTTCAATGAAAAATATGTAAATCTCTAGAAAAATAATAAACTTAAAAATAATAAATAAATAAATAACACTTGGAATAAAAATATCAAGCCCATCAATTAACCAGTCAAATTAGGATTTGTATTTTTTTAATAAAACTAAAAAGAGAAACGGCGTCGTTTCGTTTCTCTATCTAACCAGATTTGCGGTCCCTGGTCACCTCAATCATATGAACCCTACTCTTGTCCGTTTGTTCAACTCTTCAACCATTTCGGTTTCTCTTTAAAAAAAAAAAAATTAAAAAAAAAGAGAAATCATCAGCTCTGGTAAATCATGGCAACGCTTATTGGAAATCCGCTGATCAAGGCATTGATTGCTCTCTTCTTGATATCGGCAGCCGCCGCCACTGGCGACGCTCCCTTCATCGTCGCTCACAAGAAGGCGTCACTCACCAGACTTAAATCCGGCGCCGAACGCGTCTCCGTCTCCATCGACATCTACAACCAAGGCTTCTCGTGCGTTTCTCTTTCTCCTTTTTTCTTCAATTTTTTTTATAATTTCCTTTAATCCAGATCTAGCACTGATTTCTCCATCGAGGTGAAAATTCTAAATTTTGAATCGATCTGCGATTTTTCATTATGAATTGGAGCTATCCATATTCTCTTAAGCAGCTTACCATATCGTTTTACGCTTTGCATGATAAGCGGCTGATTTGCATGTGTGAGAAAAGACGTAAATTTTATCCGAATGTCATTTGTTTTGTAGTTATGTGGATCTGAGAGAGTTGAGATGAAACTGCAAATCTATTACTTTTAAGAATCGAAGAAAAATTATTAAAAAATTTCATTTCTTTGTAACCCTTTCGCATGCTTAATTATTTTCTGCTATAAAATTTTGCCTATTTCATGGATTTTCTGTTTTCTTTTCTCAATCCATTTAAAGCCCTGATCTAACCGCGTTGACCATGGATGTTTAATTGGAGTTTGATGCTACCGTATGAGCATATACTGCTTGAATATTATTGCTTAAAATTTCTGAAACTTCTGCAGTGGTAATATGAAAGCAGGGCATTGTCCGTTTTCCCCTTTTTTTCCATGTTCATGTGAAGTTTTGTGAGATTTGTCATGCATTTTTGTGTTGTGTGGATATTATCTTACTTGAGGAACAATCTTCTTGAATAAAATTTCAGGACAGCGTATGACGTGAGTCTCGCTGATGATAGCTGGCCTCAAGATGCCTTTGATGTTGTCAGTGGTAACACTTCGCAGTCATGGGAGAGACTTGATGCGTGAGTATTGCCTTTCTGTGAATCTACATCATTTTTTCTTCCCAGATTGAATTAATTAAATTGCAAACTTTATGATCTGCAGTGGTGGTCTTCTATCTCATTCATTTGAATTAGAGGCCAAAAGACAAGGAATGTTCTATGGTGCCCCAGCGGTTATCACTTTCCGCATTCCCACAAAGTCTTCTCTACAGGTTTGAGATCCATAACAGAGTTCTATTTTTCTCCCTTTAAATTAAGGGAAAAATAAATAAGGTGAACAAGCTTTGATGCTCTAATTTGTTGTGTGTTTTTAGGAGGCATATTCAACTCCAATCTTGCCCTTAGATGTCCTTGCGGAGAGACCTCCTGAGAAGAAGTTTGAGTGGGTAAGTTTTTGTTTGGAATGGCAATAACCAATGATCAAGCAATTCAAGTTTTCCCTTGTTTATCTCACGTTACTAAAGCCTTTTTGTTTTTGGTGGAACCTGCTTTGACCGTGACTAAATATTGAAGGCTAAGGTATGAGCATTCATGTTACGTTTGTTAAATTAATCATGCATCTAGAATCTTGATGTATAAGTATTGACCTGCATGCAGAGATTTTAAGATACGCTTGAGGAGTAGATAATATGCATCCCTTCTTTTGCAATATCTTTGCTCTTTGGATAAATTTGTAGTGGTTGATTATTGCCTGTTGGGTACAATTTAAATGGACCCTTGCTGACCCTTCTAGATGTCTTCAAGTTCTTCACAACTTTTTCTCATAGTATGATATGCAATGTTCATCAACTACCTTCATTCCCTTTTGAATTAATGTGAACCTTCTCTCTCTGCAGAGGTTGCTTGCTAAGTATGGCTCTCAAATCTCTGTGATCTCGATTGTGGTTCTTTTCATCTACCTAATCGCCATCCCCTCAAAATCCAGTGCTGCAAAAGCAAGCAAGAAGAAGCGCTAAGTATTGGAGCTGAGAAAAGCCAAATCAATAGCCGGTCTGCACTTACCGCACGAGCCTCTCTTTCTGTTTGCAGTTAAATTAGGTCTTCCCTTTCTTTTTGTAGAACATTTGTTGTCGGAATTTTCTAATTAGATGGCTGTTAAATGAGTTTAGTGCAAGATGAAATCAACTGGTTCGTACTTTCTAGTCATAGACTTGATTGAAACTGGTAATGCTAGAAGTGGAAGAACTAATATATATGCGGTATATGTACAATTGATCTGTGATCGGGTGACAAATTTTGAAATTTAAAATTTATCTTTACCATTTAATGTTGTGAAATATATACTACTGCTTTAGATATCCTGAAGTGACCCAATTCTCATGTTAGGGATGAAAGGTGGCCTCAGGACGGCTTATCCTTAAAACGGTAGCTTGAAGAACCCTAGTTTGTGTAGTCTTCTGTTTCCTTGAGAGTTATGGTTTTAATTATATTCATAACATTTCAATTGAAATTAAATTTATATCCCATTGAAATACTTGAACTAAAATAGTTTTAATTTGCTTATTATGAATTAATATTTTGTTGATACGATGAAGTCATGTCAAGAATTTGTGATAATTCTCACGAAAACTTATGTTGGGTTGTACGAGCAACACAACCTATTGCCTTGCGAAACAAAAGCTCGTAGGCTGACTCTTTCATTGGCCTAGCAGCAAAAGCCAAGATACAAAGAATAAATTGAATGAAAATATAAATAAAATGAATTTCACTTAGAATTATAATTGGTTGAAGAAGATAATCTATTAACCTTTTTGCTTTGATTATTCGATTATTATTATTTTGCCATAGTATGATACGTAATTCATAAAATCTCTTTGATCTGAATTCTATGCAAAGGAAAGAAATTGAAGCATTTAATATTTCTTTTTCTTCTTCTTTAACTTTCTATCATCATCATCATATATATATATATATATATATATATATATATATATATGTGAAAAGCATTATAAGGGGCATTAAACGGCCCACTCATATCTGATTTGGGCAACTAAACTCAAAGGAGAGAGTATTGAGACCAGTGTCCATTCACACTTCCCACTAATAACTTAACATAGTAATTTCTTAAATTACTCTCACTTAAATAATTTTTTATTAAAAATAAATTCTAATTAAATAAATTAATATTTTTCTAATCACACTGCATAATATTTAATTATTTTTATTATAATCGTGTAACTTAATAAAAAGGAGGAGAGTATTTCTCTATAATAAGCTCATCGGTTCATATGCTGAAGCAAATTTGTATAGCAAACTCGTAGAAACAATTTTTTTTAAAAAAAAAATTACAAAGAGCATATTTATTTATCATTTGACAATCTTTATGTATATATTTTAACTAAAACAAGTGAAAATGTCTTTTACTAATGTCAAAACTTCAAGCATACTAGGTATTCTAATTTGACAAAATCACCTTTTCAGCTTCTGCTATGAATTTTCAATGTTTATTTATATACCATTGAAGAAAAAATTGCTTTCATTGATTGCAACAAACCAATCCATACCCGAATTCCTGTCACATATTTGACACAACAAATTAATTGTCTTGATAAAATGTTATGTAACAATTTAACTCTCACAAGATAGTATGATATTCTTGTCTGAAAGCAAACACGCACGAAGATATCAATTGTAGTTACCTAAAATCATGATAGATTATAGTAAGATTATTGTCTTGTCATTAGCAGCAAATATCTATGCCATTCAAAATAACCAGCTAAAAATTTAACATCTTTGTGCATCAATAAAAACAGTACTCATTAAAAAAAAAAGTTAATATCAAAGTGTTGTGTCCAAAATACATTGTCTTCAAACATCAAATAGAAGCCAGCAAAAAAGAAGAAAAGATAACAATATATAGTTAGTGAAATATCACTATAAAATTTGTAATATATAAAAAAATGTTACAAAATTTAAATGAATCGTACCTAGGAAATTTTTTAATCTCAAAAAGTTTTGGCGTTTGAATCATTAACAATGTGATTCAAAATATTGTCATCTACCCATTGTCGAATAAAACCACAAACCATCTTATGCTCAAAAGCCCATTCTTCATCAAATTTAGTTTCGAGTTTTTGAGTAACAAATACCGATAAATATAGCTTTTTTCATAAATAGTAAGTCTTTCATCTTTCCTTTCCACTTGTGATAATTCAAGCCATTCAAATTGATCATTCTACTATAATTAGGCTTTATCTTTCAATCAAGCTAAATCCACAACTAAGGAATCTATGCTGACACTAGTTGTTGGGAAAGAGTATTGATATAGCGAAAGCAACGATACAAAATAAAATTTTTCTTGTTTGAAAGAACTTGTGAGGAGTAAATATTCAACCAATAAAAATATCTCAAACAATAGATATAGTTATGAATGCACAAAATAAAATTATAAGAAAACACAAGATTTTTAACATGAAAAACCCATTCAATGAGAGAGGTAAAACCATGAGACCTAGTCCAAAAATGCAATACATTATAAAATATCAATGAGTACAGCAAAGAGACCAAACAACAATTTATAAAATCTAAATAAAGGGTATCAAAGACTAAAGAAAAGAAAATGCAATCTGATCGTACAGATTGAAGCTCACAATATCAAGAACAACATATTGAAATTTCATCAAAATCAGAAAACAAATTGCCTTTCGATCGATACCACAAAGTAGGCTAAAAATTTTCTCCATATTCATTTATGTCGGCATTTTTTCTCACTTCATCCAAAGAGGGTAGAAGTCTTTTTTTTTATTATTAATTTAAGTTGTGGGCTCCAATTCAGGAGGACCAACAACAATAAGGAATTAGAGTATGCCAATTTGTATTGTTTGGAAAGCTCCTCCAATGCATGGATAGATACACATGTAACAACATTTTTGAAGCAAGGAATGAGAAACTCATGGGGCACATGAATCCTTTCTCTAGAAAGTCTAGCTTTGATATCTTGAAATTGACTTTCAATTGCTTGACAAATTTTATCTTTTACAATATGAAGATCACTAGTAGAAACTTGAAGACACTTTTTCAAATTTGCATGTGCACCCTTAGCTCTTGATGTTACTTGATTCCCAAAGTGAGTATACTTCTCTATCAATCAGTTATAAACTTTTCTTCATAAATGAAGGTATCCTATAGATTTTAACTTTCACTTAGTAAGTGTGGTTGGTTCCAGTCTAAATTGAGTAGTTGACCAAGTATTGAACCATTGATTCTTCATTTGACTAGTCAGGCCACTAAACACACACTAGCTTCCTCGCTCCATTAGTATATAATTTTGCCAACACGTTTTAGGGCATTGTGTTTTGCATCCATTCATGAATACTATCAGAGTCAAGTCTTTAGCCCCTAAAAGTGACCACACTTCCACTCACATAAGTGACACTCATTGAAAGTATCTCATAATTATAATACTTCAACATATACATGTTATGGGTCTATTAAGAACTTTTGTTTAACCTTACCTTACACATTATGGGAATTAAACACTATACACCTTAAGATGGAAAATATAAATTAGTACTTGCAATCATCCACGTGGTGAAATTGTGAGTACCCTAGACTTACAAGTCGACCACAAACATCGAGGTGAGCTCCCATTATTAGAGATTTAGTTGAGAGGCTTGAAACCAAACCCTCTTAAGGTTTTTATTACTAAGTCTTTTTTTGGACCTTTGGTAAACGGATCCACTGAATTTTGACAAAACTTCACATAACTTATAGTGATTATACCTCACTAATTCTTTATCTTATAATTCTATGTCGAAATCCAATATATCGACTCTTTCCATTGTATGCTTGATTATATGCCTTTGGTACTATTGTTTCATTATCACAATATATCAAGATTGGTGCCATTGGTTTAGGCTACAAAGGAATTTCACAGAACAAACATATCAATCATTCCACTTCTTAAGTAGTAGATGCTAAACCTATAAATTCAATTGTTATGGTAGAGTTCGCTTAATAAGATTGTTTCTTAGAACCCCAAGAAACAACACCCCCACCAATTGTAAAATCCAACCAATTGTAGAAGTATGATCTGTTCTAAAAAGCATCAATTTCTTTAGGATTGAGCCTTGGATGTTTTGATTCACATTGTTCTTGTTCATGAGTTGAAACATTGAGGTTTTATGGTTCAAGTGTAGGAGAATCATTTGAACTATTTGCATCTTTCTTTTAAAGAATTTATCAATTATTTTCAACTTACTCATATATACTTTAATCAAACCTAAAAAAAAATTAATGCAGTTAATATCTAATATTCTTATTTTATTTTTATTTAAATTTAAAATACTAAATATAAAACTATAACGCTTAAACTATAACTAGTTAAATACGATATAAAAGATTTCACACAAGGTTAAATATATAAATAGTTAAATAATATAAATAAAAATAAGAAGATAAAAGAAAATTTTACCTCCTTTTAATTTCACACAATAGTGGTGACGTCCTCGTCCTTCATTGTCCAAGCTCACAAGCTCATAAATATCTTTTGAAGAATGAAATGTGTTTCAATGGTACGTTATAGGGAAAGAGTAAAGTAAAAATAAAAAGACAAGAAAGAAAAGAAAGAGAAAAAGAAAGTGAGAGAAAGAGGTGTGGAAAAAATTAAAAATTAGGATAAAGTTGAGTAGGGTTTGTGGGATCATTTTATTTTTTTATTTATATTAATTATTGAATAAAAAAATTATTTTGAGGAGTCATTAAAAAATATAATAAATAAAAATTTTCAAAAATTTTGAAGGAGCCATAGTCTCAAAAATATACTACTTTCCAAAGCCATTAATAAATAATATATAAAATTTTTAAAAATTATGGTGAGGTGATTTTATCCTCCACCCCTGTATATAGCTTGAGAGACTTGGAAAATTCATTGCCATTATTTGTTCTAGGATTTCTAGACTTGGTAATGGCTATTCCATACTTGGGAGAATAGACAAAAAATACTATTATACAAAATTACCTTTTATTAATTTTGAGAATTACCTTTTTATATAAGAAGTAATTTGTTCATTTTCATATTTCTTTCTCTCTCTACCATCTCCCTTTCTCCTTCTTTCTAAATTAAACTAAAATTTTAATATAAATTATGAAAATTAATATTAAAAATTAAACATTTTAATTTTAATTTAATATAAACTATGATATTTCTCAAAAAATATAAACTATAATAATTAATATTTTAATTTAAAAATTAAATTAAATTTTAAATTTTTAGTAATTTAAAATAAAGAATAAAATAAACTAATTGTTTTAATATTTAATTATAAA